TCCAAGTGTGCTGGTCCAGATGCATGGTTTCTCTTGAGGTTTCTCAGTTTTGGCTTGAAAAAAAAAAAGTCTTCTGTTCTCTAGATGTTACAGACAATGCCCGCATCCTTCCACCACCTGAAGAAGATGACATAGTCTGGGATCGCGTCTTTCATTCAGACAGAAGACATGTTTTATTGTCGATGGTAGAGACAGCATGAACAAAACGAACACAGAATGCAAGTGTATTATACAGAGCGGAGGCATGGAGACCTCCAATCAGCAGCTGCCACGGTGCCATGTAGCTTGGCCTTCAGATAGACAAAACAAGAGAAAAGTACTGGCTTCTGCACATTGATAGAATGATGAGTTTAACTATAACAAAAGTTGCTTAAAAGTGTTATGAAATCTCACAATATGAAAACAAATTACACACATTTGTTAATAATCATTGTCATGAACAAACACTTAAAACCAAAGACTAAAGCATATATCAATACATGTATAATAATATAATAAATATATTTTTCCATTGTATTACCAATGGAAACGGACCATACACGCGTCGACGTACGTAAAAAATAGGATTGTTTCTATTTCGTCCGTCCGCGTCCATTGCAGCCTGCAAGGACGGACTGCTCCCTACGCGCGTTATACGGACGCATGTCGCAGGCAGTGAAGCCTCTTCCATTCACCCTCATGGATAAAATGGAAACGGAGATGTAACGGACACGTTTGGACGGATACGTAGTACGTTTTACGCAGCCGGTGCAGTCGGGGACTTAGGGTTGAATCCTTCTCGGTTGATCCTCGCCAACTAAAGGGCTCTTCTCCCCGTCGAGAGTCGCTCTGTGTCGCTCCCCTGGCTCGTAATAACCTGCGGAATGTCCCCACAATCTGCACGGTTACTGCACCCCCAAATGATGCAGGCAGTCGGCATGATTTAGCCAGTGGGGGCGGGTCCCGGCTCAAAAGTGGCCAAAATGATGTGCAATGACATGCTTGCATATCACCCCGGGCCGATGGGGGTGGACCCAGAAGTAGAATTAGCCAATGCTAACATATAGCGTTGGCAGACCTCTCAAAAACGTCTTTACCCTCCTGAGACCCTGCGACCTCATACGAGGACATTACATTTTTGCCTCTTGGCACAATGATACTCAATTTTTTACATCCTTGACCTGATGGCCACATTTAGGGACACTGCCCGCGCCATCTTGTGGTGATATGATAGAATTACACTTAAGGCAGTAGGAAAAAAATGGTGGGAATATCAACAAAAGACTTCTACAAGAGTTCACAGAAGAAAAATGCCCCAGGTAAAAATTCTATCAACATTTTATGAATGAAATCAATTTATTTATGCACAATAATGTCTCTAGCTTCATATGGAGTTTGAAATTTGACAAATTTTGATTGTAGTAGCAGGCTAAGATGTCAGTAAAAGTGAAGCACTCGTTTGAGGACGCTAGGACTATGTACCGCTATCTGTTTAGCTAACCGTGTGGAAGATTTAGATGAAGTTACAGTTGTAAATAGTTATTTTCAATCACACCTTTGCTTAGTTATGTGGTTTACAGTTGTAAATAGTATATTTAAGTACTAAGTGGTATATGCTAAGTATTGTTTAGTGTTGCTAAATGCTTACACATAAACAATATAGCTAGGCTATAGCCAAGCTATGATGTGTCACTGATATACTGTAGATTTTGATGTTGGTTTTTAAAATTATCATTATAGGCACACTTTCATTATCAAGAGCAGAACAATTGCTGTTGGCAATTGCAGACAACTCTGAGATAGAGGACTTCTCAGATGGGGATGATTGTATCATCATCTCATACCTGTCAGTCAGCTTCTGGTGTTTCCCACGGGGAGAGGCGGCGAGCTGGGGTGGCCATACTCATTGCCCCCCATCTCAGCCGCCACGTGTTGGAGTTCTCCCCGGTGAATGAGAGGGTGCGTCCCTCTGCCTCCGGGTGGGGGACAAGTCTCTCATTGTTGTGACGGCCTACGGGCCTAACAGCAGTGCCGAGTACCGGCCTTCTTGGAGTCCTTGGGAGGGGTACTGGACAGTGCACCGCCCGGGGACTCCGTTATTCTCCTGGGGGACTTCAACGCCCATGTAGGAAATGCCAGTGACACTTGGAGAGGGGTGATCGGGAAGAACGGCCCCGCTGATCTGAACCCGAGCGGTGTTCAGTTGTTGGACTTCTGTGCCAGTCACGGTCTGTCCATCACGAACACCATGTTCGAGCACAAGGGTGTCCACCAGTGCACGTGGCACCAGGACACCCTAGGCCGGAGGTCGATGATCGACTTTGTTGTCGTATCATCTGACCTTCGTCCGCGTGTCTCGGACACTCGGGTAAAGAGAGGGGCAGAGCTGTCAACCGATCACCACCTGGTCGTGAGTTGGATCCGCTGGCAGGGGAAGAAGCCGGTCAGACCTGGCAGACCCAAGCGTATAGTGAGGGTCTGCTGGGAACGTCTCGCTGAGCCCCCTGTCAGACGGACTTTCAACTCACACCTCCGGGAGAGCTTCTCCCAGGACCCAGAGGAGGGGGACATTGAGTCCGAGTGGACCATGTTCTCTTCCTCTATCGCCAATAAAGCGGCTCGTAGCTGTGGTCGCAAGGTCTCTGGTGCTGGTCCCCGAACCCGGTGGTGGACACCGGCAGTAAGGGATGCTGTCAGGCTGAAGGAGTCCTATCGAGCCATGATGGTTCGTGGGACTCCTGAGGCAGCTGTCCAGTACCGGCAGGCCAAGCGTGCCGCGGCCCGGGCTGTTGCAGAGACAAAACCCCGGGACTGGGAGGAGTTCGGAGAGTCCATGGAGCATGACTATCGGTCGGCCTCAAACAGGTTCTGGCAAACCCTCCGGCGCCTCAGGAGGGGGAAGCAGTTCTTTGCCAACACCGTGTATGGTGCGGGTGGAGAGCTGCTGACCTCGACTGGGGATATTGTAACCCTAACTCTAACCCGGAGATGGTAGCCTTGAAAAACCCCATGCGTTGCAGAGCACAAGACTGCATTGGAAAATCCTGTGTCCGATGCTCGACATGCAATGTGTACCTGTGCTTGCAAAGTGAACGCAACTGCTTTGCAGCATTTCACACTTGCCAATAGGGCTCTTCCAAACAGGCAGACGGATTGCTTTCTAGAAAAAGAGAGGGAGCTAGTTTGAAAAAAGCCCCGGTTCAAAAGCTGTTCAGCAGAATTTTACTGTTTTAGGACTGTTAATAATATTTGCCATTATTTGTTCTAGTATTGTATTTATCAATTCAATTCAGCCATATTGAAGGCTTGAAATAGACAGTTTACACAGTATTTTGCAGTTTTATTTATGTATAGCCAATTTTTTGTCATGTGGATGAATGAAGAAAAAGGGAACCCAAATTGCAGGACTGAAAATCAAAGTAATTTAATCAAATAAATCCAAGGTAATGTAAAAACAGAACTGAAGACAGGACAAACGTTGTGGAGACAATGGACGGACAACAAGTGAGGAAGGGCACAGGGTATATATACACACACAGGGACACACAGGTGAATCACATTAGGGCGGGGCAACAATCAACAGGACAGGCAGGATTCAAACTCAACCAGGTCAAAATGTCCACACCATGACATTTTTAGGCTTTGAAGATAGAGCTGTTTGGATTTTATGTCTAACTTTGATGTTTACATTTTTCAAATAAACTGTTATATACTATTTTAGACCAATGGAGTCTATTTGTATTGTATAGTAAGGTCGACCCACTGTACTCATATGAGGACATTGATTTTTGAGAGAAGTACTAATTGGATCAAGCTGAAATTTTGAATTTCAACTAATTAGGACCTTCCGGCCTCAAAGAGCATACATTTTTTCTTTAGGTTATGAGAGACCCACTGTCCTCATACGAGGACATGTTTTTTCTCAAAAACTACTTCCTGTACAAAATCACAATTTAGGTATTATACTTATTGGGTCCTACTTATCCTAAATAGCAAAAAAATATATAAAATGCAAACCAGACAAATGCTCGGGTCTCAGGAGGTTAAAGGATGGTCCAAAAGTTGGCTCTTGGCCCAAAGCTCCGTTCCACATGTGTGTCAATGCTGAGGGGGGTGAATTTTTTTGGACCACTCTAGTTTACTTGCTGTGAATTTTTGAGATCTCTCGTTCAAATGAATGGAGCTCTCGCCAGCTGACGCATGCGCAGATGCGTTTTTTCACAATTTTCTTGTGGGCCATTTTGGATAGCTCCAGTAGAGCACATTTTTTGGCCCATTAGTTAGAACGGTGGAGATAGGCGTGACTCTGTCCGTTAATATATACAGTCTATGGTTTTAGCACAAAAAAGTGATGTGTTATGCTTTGTTTACCTACAACTATTGGCGGCTTGACTTACAGGATGGCGCACTGCTGCGTGACGTAATTAGAAAACCATTATATTTTTATTAATTTTCCCAATTTCTTTTTTTTGCTTGTGTGAAGGGGAAACATATTTTTTTCCCAAAATATTGCCTGTAGTAGCTATCTATCATTCAATGGGAGCTTTTACACCCATCAAAACAGAGAATAATATATTTTAAAAATAACACTTTTGTTTTTTATTCACCAACCCATCTGCAACGCTCTGTCAAATCTTGCACTTTACAGACGGTCCTTTTATGAGAGCTCATCACACGTATGAGCGGAGACTTCATCTTCATTGTTTATCCTGTTTTAAATCGACAGCTGCAGCCTAAGTACACGGTTTTTTTTATAAGTGGCAACAATGTGAACAGTATTTAATACTAAACTCTTCACTAAACTGAAAATATGGACAGACTATGAATCCAGGGAGTGTTTTGTGCGATTATCAAACGTTCAGCCAACTTCACCTCGGTGTAAATAAAAAAGCTGCAGGATGAAGCCCCGCCCCTTCAGGATAAGGTCCATGACAGTCAACTGTGCTCCAGTTTATGTTGTGTAAGGACTTCGTAACTTTCTCCTACAGTTCCAACCATCGTAGCAGTTATTTGATGCAACCATGAATCCGGACATTATTAAAGAGCGACAGAATGCATCTTTTGACGTGGAAAAAGTCACATATATTTTGGATGGGGGGCCCGAAAAGACCAAAAGAAAACGAGAAATAGGTAAGATGTGTGATAGATTTCATGTACTTTGGCTTTAGCTCATGTCGGCCTTTTGATTATGTTCTAGCAGAGCAAGCAATGCAAACAGCCTCGAGTGTTTTATAAGCGATATGTCATGCCTGTGTTTCTTGGCTAGCTAACACCACATAACGTTACGTAGTCAGTTGTTAGCTAGCCAACCGTATCATTGATTCATATTGTTTGTAGTATGCTTGTAGTTAGCTAGCTCAAGTCGTCTCACCCCTTCACAACAACCTTTCTTTAACATTTGCTTAAAGACGATGTACACAGCAGCTACATCGAGGGGTTTATACTACTACTGCTACATTTAGCGTAGGCAATATGACATGTTTCCATTATTATAGACATTATAAAAAATATTGCAATAATTATATAAAAGTATTGAGAATATATATGTAACGCTATGTCATAATACGGAGGCAGGCTGCTTTCAGCTGCAACAGATGAGAAAATGTATTTCCCTTTGGATGTGATCACATAAATAATATTTTCATGTCTTTATCACAATGTATCAGGTTTACTTAAATGTTCCCGTGGGGAAATTTTTCCTCTGCACTTGATCCATCCTGCAAGGCTCATCAAATAATACAATAATCCATCCATCCATCCATTTTCTACTCTTTAATCCATTTCTGGGTCAGGGGGGTGGCAATCAGAGATGCCACCCAAGTCTCATAGCACCAGCCCCTCACTGATCCTCTGCAGGTGGTGAGTCCACAGGAGCTGAGATCTTCCAGCGGGGGCTTTGGGCAAAGTGGGGTTAAGTGTCTTGCCCAAGGACACAACGACAGCAGTCATCAGTGGGAGTTGGTGGAGAAGGTGTAGTGGTTGGAATTGAACCCACGACCTTCTGGCCTTAAGGCCAATGCTAATAATACAATAATCTATAGGTTGCATTCATGTGACATTAGTACATTTTCTTTTTAAAGATTTTTTGAAAAATAGCTTCTTTCTCATAGAAGACTTCTCTCCAACTGCATTAGAAGTCTAGAACATGCGCCATCGCTAGTCCTCCTCACTATCAATCATTTAAAATGGATGTTATGATGATGTTTAGTTCTCACTCTCTTCAGTTCACATATGGTGTATTATTCTGTCTTTCCTTTTCAGAGACCCTGGTCATAAATGACCCAGACTTTGATGAAGTGGACCCAAACTTCCTATCCCGTAGTGAGCGCTATGATCAGGCTGTGAGAAAAAGTGCTCAGATGATCTTGAAGATTAGAGAGTATGGAATTTCAGATCCAGAGGAGATTTACTTCTACAAGAGGTAATTGACTAATTTGACTCATGGCTCTTATTGTTATACGAAAGTATTAGGGACACATTTACTGATCATGAATACTCCAGCTGTGAGACACAGTTAGTTCCTAGCAAACATGTTCTTTCCCCACAAATAGGGCTCTAATTAAAGATTATTCTGTTAATTGATTCATTTGCTGATTATTCTTCAATAAGTTAATAAGTGTAAAGTAGGGCTGCACAATATATTCAAACATATTCAAACATCAATATATCAACACATGCACTTTATGATTAAAAGTTTGTATTCACTTTCTCTCACAAAGGTTGGTAATGCAGTCTAAATGGCACTGTGAAATGGAATTGCTTAGTGTTTGCCATGACATGATCACATCTAGAGTCAGGTCCATAAATATCATATGTAGACATCAACACAATTCTCATATTATGGACTGTAAACACCAGCACAGTGGATGAGAAAAACTCATGGTGTGCTATCAGCTTTGAGTATTTCACATTTAAATCCAAACTTCCTCCCCCTTATGGAGTCCTGGGGCTCCTAAGCTTGTGTTGCATGGCCAGATCACAGGCCAGTTTTATGTGTCATGTCTTCATTTTCTCATGTACCTCCATGTACTTGTATTTACAATCAGTTTCTGACTTTTAAGAAGGACTTGACAGAAGTGTTAAACATTTCTTTTTCTTTTAATTTATAATCCATTGTGGTGGGGGAAGAAAGAGTCATAATTATGACACTTGTGGTAATGTCTAACTATTTACAAACCTGATGTATGTATCCTTCACTTTGCACAGTATGATGACTGGCAACCATCATGAGGCCCTGGGATTGCATTATGTCATGTTCCTCCCAACCCTGTACAGCCAGTGTGACCAAGAGCAGTCCAAGAAGTGGTTACCCCTGGCCGAGTCCTTCAGGGCTCTGGGCACCTATGCTCAGACTGAGCTGGGCCATGGTTAGTCCAAAATGTAGCTAGTTTGTCCTTCATATTTGTAAAAAAGATCATGTAAAGGTAGGGAAAGGAAAGGTAAGGAAAGAAAATATAGGTCCCGATCTTGCGCAGAATAAGAAGCACTAAAACATATTTATGCTTCTCATTATATGCATGAATATATTTGTCGCATTTAGATGATATTCAAGGCCTTTAATTTAGACTACCAAACAGAAATGGCAAATGCAGCATGAACAATGCACATTCGTAGCACTACGCCTATCTCGAGTCTGTTCAAGCTAGGGATGTAAAAAACTATGAATTTTCATGACCGACCACCGAGCCTCATTAACCGGTTGAAACCGGTTAACCACGTAGTTTAAAATAGTCCACGTTCTTTGAAATAACAGCCATTTCGAGCTGCGTACTTTTCATAAGTGCAGCTCTGCGTTCTACTGGATCGGAGTTGAGACAGCGGCGCCCAAACCCGCAACAGCTCCGGCAACTTTGCGCACAGAGAACTGCTTTTTTAATCTTCCCATTCTGCTGTGCTGCGGGTTAATAACAAAACTTTCTAGCAGCAAACGACGGCTCGTTCACATGGTCAGAGCAGCGAGTGACGAGCCGCGTCTCACAGGTCTTCACAAAAGTTTAAATACAAGTGATGTGTGTGAAGCTGATCCCGAGGACCATAAACACAAACATGTTCCATGTGGTTTGACTGGAGCCGCGTATTTGCGCAAATCCTTTGGGCTCCGTGACACAGAGGAGCGCGACAGACCGGTATGTGTGTGTGTATGTATATGTGTGTGTGTGTATGTATATGTGTGTGTGTGTAAATGTAAGCTCCAATGTAGTTCTGACCCGCGCCAGTGTGCAACTTTGACGGTAACAGAGGGGAGAGATGATGCGTGTGGATGTTACGTATGGAGAGGGGGAAAGTGTGTGTGTGTGTGCGCGTGCGCGTGTGTGCATATGTGGCTCGTGCGGCGTGAGAGTCGTCCCGGAGTTTATAATACATGGGCGCACACAGCTAGATACAGACCCGCTCGTCACACCGTGCAAATAGGGCTTAAAATAGCGTTATTAAGAGACCTCCCCTCTCCCCTTTTTCTCTTTTTTTAACCGACAGCTTTGACCGGTTAACGCTGTGACGGTCAACCACCGGTTAACCGGTCGCCGATTTACATCCCTAGTTCAAGCAGCTAACCCGGCAATAGCTACTTTGTCTTTGAACTCTGCAGATAATGTCTTTCATTTATTTGTCCATTCATTCACACACAAACACGCACTGCAATACGTTTGCAGTCTTTTTCATTCAACAAAAGCAGGGGCTACCAACAAGTCAGGCTACACAGTCTGTCTGCTGGATCGTTAGAGTTTCCTTGTGTGTTAAAAGCAGTGACGAAAAACCAAGGGAAAAATCTGCTGCATAACTTTATCTCTCCACTGCTGCATATCTACACAAGGAAGTGAGGTCTCTGGAGTTCTGTTAAGTTGCGAACATTTAGGATCATTCCTTTGTGGACCCCTCTCATCATTACAACACACTAGATAAATAATAATCTAACATACAAGTTCATGCAGGCAAGAACATCCACACTGACCAACAGCCTGTATCCTCATGCTGTGAGACTAATATTTGGAATCCTTAAAATAATTTGCTGGTAGATTTATGATAAATGACTGTTTATTACATGAGTTCACTTCAAATGAACCAATTAGGGAAGAGCTGCTTCAGCTTGGGATGAGAAACCGCCAAACAATGGTGCTCTTGTAGTCCTGTGTGAGTGCTCCCCATCATGCTCATCTACACCAGTGCTACCTCAAAGATTGGGCCCCAAATTTCACAGTAGTCGACAATGACAACTATCAAATTTAGTAGACTCGACGATGAAGGGGTAGCATCACTATTTTGGTTCGCAACAGAACCACTAACGCAGCAGGAACGCTGTGGTTTTTCTCTAAGAAGTAACATTATTATTTACTGATTTATTTGATGATATTAGTTACTTTTCGTTGTCTTGTTTATTGTTGGCATGTAGTGAACATATTTTAGAAGCTTCTAGTAATAGAATCATGCAAATCATATTTCCTTCAGTCACACCCTGAGGTATTTGAAGGACGGTTAATTGGCGTAGAGTTCAAACTGTGATTGACAGATCTCACTAGCTGCTACTTCTCTTGATTCAAACCACTGCCCATAAACTAACCTCTAACACCAACATCTTGCTCCTGTCAAAGCCTTTTGTATATATTTTTGTTCGATTCCACCACCAGACGGGGCCTTTCTATCTGGAGTTTGCATGTTCTCCCCGTGTCTTTCTAGGTTTCCTCCAGGTCCTCCGGTTTCCCTTAGAACTAACAACATGTATTATAGTGAATAGAAACTAATGGAAACACACACTCCCCCATCTCAAATAAAAAAATAAAACACCTAATAAATGGATAAGTATTAGACTCAACGTCGAATTGACAGAGCCATCCCATCCATCCATCTATCCATTTTCTTCCCCTTAATCCATTTCTGGGTCGGGGAGGGGGGGTGGCAGTCAGAGCTGAACCAGCCCCTCACTGATCCTCCTGCAGGTCGTGAGTCCACAGGAGCTGAGATCTTTGAGTGGGGGCTTCAGGCAAAGTGGGGTTAAGTGTCTTGCCCAAGGACACAATGACAGCAGACATCAGTGGGAGTTGTGAAGTAGATCTCATGGTGGGCTCGAACCCATGATCTTTAGGCTCAAAGGCCAATGCTCTACCAACTGAGCCACTGAGCCATCCCATATTCATCTCAAAGGAAATTCATTGTGCAAATTAGATTGTGTTTTACCACATTAACTAAGATGGCATAACCAGAATGTTCCTTCGGAATGGACTTTGCCGTGGCTGGAAAAGATCCTTGGGAACATGCAGTCACACTCGCTGATGCACAGATACTACTTGCTTTATAGATAGATGTATGTTTTTCTGATTATGCATGGTGTTCAATTTGCATGGTTTTCAATCGGCAAATGTTGCACAGTACCATCGGTTTTTCTCCTTTTAAATTTGAACCAATTTGTTTCAATGATTATTGATGTTGCCCCTTCATCTACTTTTTCGTCTGCATTGCGTCTTTACTTTGTGGTGTAGCTCTGTGCACCCTGGGAGGCCAGAGCCCTTGGATCTTCATCTGGGGATGTTCCTGCCCACATTGCTCAACCAAGCCACCCCTGAGCAAATGGATAAATTCTTCATGCCCGCTTGGAATCTAGAGATCATCGGAACCTACGCTCAGACAGAGATTGGTCACGGTAAAACAATCATAGCACTTATGGTTCCACTTCAGTACCTTTGGGCTGATGTGATATTGTGCAATGTTTAACATAATTTCTTTAAACTTTTGAAAGATCTGTCAAACACAGTTTTTCTGTTTTGTTACTCATATTTTCAGTTTTTATTTCATTTGGAAAATATGTATTAACATAGTTATTAGTGAAGTTGGCCAGATAATTATAAAGTTGATAATTTCATGAAAGATTTAAATTAAAAAAATATTTGTTTTATAGCTTATGCTGCAACTTCCAGCAACTTTTCTTTTTAATTTCTGCAGTTTTTTTTTTTTTTTTTTTTACTGATCCCTAAACTATATCCATACATTTCTCGGTGTCTCGGTAAATTTATGTTGGATTAACATATCGGCTGAACATTGTGACTAGAATACCTTATCACCCGTACTTATTTCTTTGTTAACCCTTGTGCGACCCAAGGGTACATATTATAAGTGGAGGAAAAGCACCCAAAAATTTGGGTCTAAATGGGTCTAATAGGGCTGGTGGACTTAGGGAAAATCATAATTATTCAGCTTAAAAATGTTTGTTAGGGCATTTCTTAATCAGTGGCGGGTCACTTTGACCCGAGGAAAGTATTAAAACTTATATTGTTAACTTTTGCATTTGTGAAGGTACTCACCTCAGAGGCCTTGAAACCACTGCCACTTATGATCCTGCAACACAGGAGTTTGTTTTAAACAGTCCTACAGTTACCTCCATCAAATGGTGGCCTGGAGCGCGTAAGTGCACCAATATTTACTTGTGTATCTAATCTACACATCACTAATCTTTTCAATTTTCTGTACCCGTCTGCAGTTGGAAAGACATCCAATCATGCTGTTGTTTTGGCGCAGCTTCACACTCAAGGAAAATGCTGCGGTCTGCATGCTTTTATTGTACAGCTTCGACACATGGACACACATGAACCTCTTCCAGGTACCACAAAAAAATGTACAACTCACACAATGGAATAGAGAACACTAATGTAGGTGTTTGTATGATTTTTAGGTGTAATGGTTGGTGATATTGGACCCAAGTTTGGATTTAGTGAAGTTGACAATGGATTCCTGAAAATGGATAATGTTAGGATTCCGCGCATCAACATGTTGATGAAGTATGCTAAGGTATTGTAAACAAATGTACATTATGTGTGTGTGTGTACAGAGGCTTGCAAATGTTCCAACTCAATGATAATGTATACTTTGGATATTTAATGGTATATGTCACATGTTAAAAGTTTACTATAACAAATATGAGATAATGCAAGTAGAAACAATGATGATTTCCTTGTCTCAAAACATTTTACTGAAAGAAAAGACAACAGTGGGGGGTATATCAAAACGATCACGTCATGTGCCCTTGAATACTGTTCACAAGTTAATTTATTGTCACATGAGTCATATTTTCCTCCTCTGAAGGTTGGTCCTCGTTGAATTTCTGAGGTTCTAAGGTACAGGGTTATCAAGTTACTAAATGGCTTGATTGAATTGATATTAAATGCTGGAACCTTATTGTATCATCAGGATTGAATTAAGCCTGTGATGTTCATTTAGGGGCACAATAACTGGATTGATGTTGTTCAGAAAGTATAAATATGTAAAAATGTATGTATCCACCAGGTGGAGCCAGATGGCACCTATTTGAAGCCCCCCAGTGCCAAGTTGACTTATGGTACAATGGTATTCATCCGGTCCTTAATTGTTGGTCAGTCTGCTATCTCCCTGGCAAAGTCCTGTACAATTGCCATTCGCTACAGCGTGGTCCGACATCAGTCTGAAATTCGCGCTGGGTAAGTCAAAACTATGATGATAATGACGAATGACTCATTTAAGCTATCTTCATTTCTGTAGAGAGCCTGAGCCCCAAATCCTTGACTACCAAACACAACAGTACAAGCTGTTTCCTTTGCTGGCCACAGCCTATGCTTTTACATTTGTGGGTCAGTACATGAGCCAAACCTATCACCGCATCACTGGAGATATCAACCAAGGAGACTTCAGTGAACTGCCAGAGGTAATGTGCAGCAAAAATGTTTTCTGATTTTTATTGAACATTATTAAAAATGTATACATTTCACACCATCCTTGCTTTGAACCTTTTTAATGCAAACAGTGGGCTGAGCTATGAACAAAATGCAATGCAAATAGAGAGCAAAAGCTTAATAGTTTATTATTATGATGATGATCCACAGCTGCATGCCCTCTCTGCTGGACTAAAGGCTTTCACCACTTGGACAACAAATGCTGGGATTGAAGTGTGCCGCATGTCTTGTGGTGGACATGGCTATTCCCGCAGCAGTGCCTTGCCTGACATTTATGTAGAGTTCACTCCCACATGCACATACGAAGGGGAGAATACAGTTATGATGCTGCAGACAGCAAGGTAGGTGTAGGTAGGAGTAGGTAAATATTATATACTGTAATTGTACCTGTTGGCTGTTTACTAACTTTTTATATTTAATGATCAGACACCTGGTCAAAAGCTACAGACAGGCCAAAGCTGGTCAACAGCTGAGCGGCATTGTGTCATACCTGAATGACACAGAACGGCATCATGTCCAGGCCAATCCGGCCTCTTCCAGGCCAATTGTCGTGGACATCAACGATCCGAGTAACCTCGTCGAGAGTTACAAACTTCGAGCTGCAACGTAATAACTAAAAATTGTTATAGGGCACTGTCCGGTTTCCGAAATGTGCTAAAAATAGTTCCAATGACTGCGCATGCGCGCATGTTTCGGACAAACTCTGTCCGACTCCGTTGAGTACTACTGTGTTCTCCACATAAGCGTGTGTATTTATTTGGGCTAAATCATTGAATCATGGTGACAACAAAACACTGCAGTTATGGTGCTTGTGGGAGCGATTTCAGATACTCTGAAAAGGACTATATGAAAGCAGTAACATTCAACCTGTTCGTTAAACCACACCATCGAACCAGACCAGGACCAGACCAGGACCAGACCAGGACAAGTGCAAGAGGTGGGTGGTTGTGGTCGGCAGAATTTCTCTCATGAAAATGTTAAAAAGGACATGTTTTTTCAAAACACTTCGCTGGACCAACTGTGGAGCCTCCAGATCCAGTCCTAGCTACGTTTAGCTGGGACTGGACCTGGACCGCTGTATCAGGTCCGTCTGAGCTCTTCTGAATGTAGTTAGCCCCATCAATCCAAATTAGTATTGTTTGTCCTAATCCAGAATGTATACAATTCTCACACCTAAAGAAAGATGAGAGGGATTTTTTCAACTTCGTGACTATCGGAAAATAAGCACAGACGAAGCGCGTTGGGGTCCGCTTATTATACGGCTTTGTACCAACTGAACACACAAAATAAACTTCAGTCACTTTTATTCATGCCAAAAGGTTTATTTAATGAGTGCAAAGAAAATAGTTCCCAAAGGTTTTAGTTCACCTACTTTAAAAAAGCGATCGCTTTAGTCGCATTAAAAAAGTATTTTTGTCATGAAAACCTTAACAGATAATTCTGAAAACCTCTGTGCACGTGTGTTGTATGAATATTATATTCTAGCATTAACATTTAAATATGTTGATTGATTGTCGTTTGCGTTTACTGAGTGTGGCTAGCTCCGATAGTTTCTCTCTCAGAGACAGTAGTGGTGTAGCCCGTTGTGACCCAATGGATCTATTATAATATCGGCTGACTGTAGTTAACTAAATGATCAAACTAATTACGAAATGGACAGTACAAAAAACAACTTGATAAATGGAAGTTAATCAGAGCAAAATAAACAAAGAAGGCGCTAACATTGCAATTTAAATGACTAGATAATGTTAGCATAACCCTCCCCATTACCTTTTTATCAAATCAAACTTTCTACCAGTTACTGGAAGACCACGACATTCAAGCCAACGTTTTAATTGGTCTACACTATGATCCCTGATGGTTTGATGGTGGAATTTTGCCCCTGGTTTATCATTTTCGTCTAAAGTGACAAGAGGTATTTGATTCATTTTGGCAGTGTTTGTCCGAAACATGTGGGCGGGAGTTGACAGGCGGCGGGGGCGTGGCCTAGTGACGTCATTCAGATAGTTCGCTATTATAGACTCCTTGATTATCTATACTAAATGTGATTGCTTTCTTAGACTTGTTGAGCTTGCTGCAAAAAGCATCCAGCGGGAGTTACAAATGAGGAATAGTCAAGAAGATGCTTGGAACAACAGTGCTATCGACTTAGTCAGAGCCTCAGATGTAAGTGGTTATTTCTAGCTTTACATGGTTATGTTTGAAAAATGCACAAAGTTACCATAATAATGTTTCCCTCTTCAGGCCCATTGTCATTATGTGGTAGTGAAACTTTTCACCGAGAAGCTGAGTGAGATTGGGGACACAGCCATTCACTCTGTGCTGTCAACCCTGGCTCTGCTGTACGCTCTGCATGGCATCACTCAACATTCAGGAGACTTCTTACAGGTGTTTTGTATTGCACTAATGTGGTCTCAGAATAGTTGTTTATAAAAAGTACCCAAAACATTTTCTTCAAGAAAACTAACAAGATTTTCTTGTAGGCTGGACTCCTGACCGTGCCTCAGATGCAGCAGATATCTGGGCGTGTGAAGGAGCTGCTGTGTACGCTCAGACCCAATGCTGTTGCGCTGGTGGATGCCTTTGATTTCCACGACAAGAAGCTGAACTCTGTCCTGGGACGATACGATGGAAATGTTTATGAGAACCTGTTTGAATGGGCTCGCAAGTCACCGCTCAATGCCACAGAGGTGGCTATCTTTTAAAATATTTATATTTTAGAAATAATTCAATGTGTACTGCGTTCTCTCAAAGCTGATGAGTGCTTTCTTTCTCAGGTCCACGAGTCCTTTCACAAATACCTGAAGCCACTGCGGTCTAAGCTCTGAGTAAAGCAAGCTGGTTTCTAAGTGGAGTATTAACGGAACAATACAAAATCAGTTTTGGTTAGTATGGACTAACACCCTAACGCCCTAATGATGATCATTAACAAAGTTAACATAGTCACAAATGCACTATGTTACAAGAGTGGAAAAGGAATGTTTTTTCCACAACATATTTTTCTACTCCACCTCCCACTCAAGATGTTGTGATTTTCATAGTCTATACATTTAAGAGACTATTTTCAATAATCCATTTGGACAAAATTTTGTTATGAACAGAAATATCATACAATGACAAATGTATTCATTTTGTTGCTATAAATAATTGCACTTTGGATGATGATTGATCAACTTTGTGAATTATGTGTTAACTCAAGCCTTCGTTGTTGGAAGTTTTGGGGCAGGTTTATTCTAATATGTAACACTTGTTTAGTTGCCAGTCAATCCATTTCTAATGGTTTTTATCTCCAGTGATTCAAAGTTGTGCCTTGAAGCCTTTTTGTAAATTTTGTTTAATAATGTAAACATTATATGTTAAGCTTTTATTAATAAACGTGGTTGTTAAATCATTGATAATTCAATTGGATCTTAGTATGCATTTATTTTTAAAAGTTTGGATAATAAATAAAGTGGTCAAGATAAGCTTTTTATGCAAGTGAACCATAAACCCAAATATTAAGTAAACCTGAACCTTGCAACACCGCTCAAGCACCAGTACACTATAAAAAACTATCAGATAAAAACAAACATCGGCCTAGAAATACTAAAAGATGCACTATGAAACTTTTCGTCAAATGTCATAACTTTGCTTTGATGCCATCATTGTATTGAACTATCTAAACCTCATCAGTTAAAGTGAGTCACTTCAGCAGCAGCTGTGATCAGTTAATCTTGACACTTCCAGGACTGTCAGTGGGTGAACATTGTGTAGTCTCTAAAAACCTTCTGTGATCAGTGACTGCTCTCTGGAGAAGAGCAACATTTGCTCCATCAATGCAGTTGAACACACGAGCACGGACCACTGGCCCCACACCTGTGGTAGAAACGACACATAGATTAACAATAAACCGCGGAACGTAAAGATATTCCTTTACCTTCCACGTGTTCTAACTCTCCAAGAACCATGTAGTGGGCACCAATGATAGCGTCAAATGGTTCAACAAACAATGTATGCACAAAAACAAAGTGGTCCTTTGCAGAGTGTTGCGCTGACAGCGTGGCCATGGAGCCCTCTGGTTCATATCGGACAAGTCTGAAATCATTATGAACATGCGTCAAGGCTGCGTTGGACTACTGCCGTAGACGTCAGCCAAACTCACTTTCCAAAAGTCCTCAAAGAATCTCCTTCTTGTACTGCACCAGAAGCAACTTCCCAGGTGAAACGATACACTGCAGCTGAAGGAAGCATGTCGAAAATATGTATATATTAGACTATTATAGCCTTTACAAGACTACTAGCCTGATAGTGCAGCAGCATGGTGTGATTGTTTTTTTCTTTTTCCGCCTCACGTACGGTCACAGACCAAGCTCCGCCCGGATTCTTTCCAAATGAACACCGCCCTCTAGTGGGTAGACTCTCATTAAATACAACATAATGCCGTTATTATTATAGATCCATGGCATAATGTCACTGTTTAGGTCTCACATGGACTCTATATTTAGCCAAAATAGAAAAAAAAATATTAACAGGAAAATCTAATTAAGGGACGCATTTGACCCCCAATATACTGATAATGTGTGTTATTACAGTTGTGAGAAAATTGGGAAGTTCCACATGACTTTTAATCTCCACTGGATAACGCTGTGTGGTTTTGTGTTTTAAAGTTCAGCTTGCCTTAGTGACAATATTAGCTACACGTCTGCCCCCAACGCCATCCGAACAAATGCTCCTATAAGAAAATTGGCTGATGCTGATGCTCAGATTTTTCTGCATTTGGAAAACACTAACGTCAGTTAGTCCACTCCTAATATACGTTTTTTTAGATGACACTTCAATGCTGGAACTGTTGTATTTATTCTTGAAAAATAAAAATGAATTAAATTTAAAATTTAAAAAATAAATAGATTGAATAAACCCATTATAGATACACGTAGTACGTAACCCCGCCTAGATCCTGCGCCAGCACTTGAGGCCGCCCACCACGCGCCCATAGGGAAGTGTCAACGCTCGCGCTGTGGCTGTAGTGTGGCAACAATGCGGACTACATTAGTCTTCACATTAATTCCAAAGTCTTTGTCCTTCTGTTTGGTAAGTGCATTCGACTTCAGTGAGCGTATATTTGTTTTGTTTATATAACAGCGGTTAAGTTGTACGTGTCTTCTACTTCTATTGTATTGGAGTTAAGCTAAAAGCGTACATAAAAGTTTACACAGTGAGGATGGCCTCGCTGTGGAAGTGATCCTCTATGGTCTCTACCATAGACTGTAAATATTATTATATTGTGTGTCTCTAAACACTTAAAAGCGAACCAGATACGAACCCATTTCTGATCCAAACGCGCGGCTCCGATTAGAGTCGATCTTTGCAAGCCCTTTGTTGGTGCCCTGCCCGCTCGTATCTGCCACAGGACGGCAACATTCAGCTGCCCTTTCCTTGGCGGCTCCAGTAAACAAACTACTTGTTAATTTAATCCTTTCGTTTCTAAAACATGCGACAATGTGCGCGTAAATTTGATAATTGTACGTTTTAGGCTGGGGTTCTAAACGAACAAAAACATACTGTATTATAATCAATCAACTAAGCTAAAATGATGAAATTCGAGAAGATTTTATTGAATTGTTTACACATTATATTTTTTCCGCGGTAATTACAGATCTGTTGGGATAATACTTTACAGTATGCTTAAATATTTGTATTTAAAAATCAATTTTCATAAACAATAGAGTTTGTGATTCATCATTTAACTAGCCCTAACATACTTTGAAACCCTGACTACAAAATAATCGTTATTTTATTTACTGATTGTCTCTCCTGTGAATTCATAGTAGTTCACCTTTTTAGAATAAATTGATAGATCAAAATCCAGGTCTTTTTTGATATGTATACTACATTGTGGACTTGCTGACCATTTAAAGAGGAACTTCACTCAACTTTTTTGTCAAGTTTCATTCACAAGGTTCAAGGAAAGAAGCTGTTTGCCTTTTGCATTACATTTGAATAAAACGTGATAATGTATGTAGTGAGAAAGGAGGATATCAAGGTTTTAACTTGTGATGTTGATGAAGAGCTTGGAATTCCTCACATTTAGGCCATTAGAACTTGCATGCTTGAACTTGCCTGGCCAACGTGTCTCTTTCAAAGTGAAAAGTTTTAAAACCAGATCTGTTTGGTATTGTATGGTTTTTATTTTTGAGTTTGAGTGAATGAGTGAGTGGCCGTTTGAATTTTGTTAGCTCAACAAACAAACGAGGATAACGCTCTACAAAAGTGACCAACTTTTTTTAAGGCAAGGAAGTAGAACTGCTTAAACCTGAATCCGAGAGCATGCACTTGACATGCTAATGACAAAACTCAGAAGACTAAGACCTCGGGTTAAAAACAACATTTCACAATCCTGTGACTTTCTCCAATAATAGATATTTTTGTTACTTATGTATTCTTCCAAATTTTTACTTGGTTGGTCTCTTATTTTATAAAATATTTCTTTCCAGTATGTAGAAGTCAGTGATTTTCCTCTTGATCTTGTAGTAATCTGAAGATCAACGCAAACTTATCTACTGGGGGCACCACAGACGCTTTGGGGAGCGGCCTTATTTTGACTAGATGTAAAACCATGGAACGCTCTGAAGCTCTGGTCGTGTCATTTACACTGTGGACCAACAATTAACTTCTTCTGCTGAGACAGTCCTAGACCTATAGCTGGGCAATATGGCAAAAAAGTTAAATCTCGATTTTATTTCCTGCTTTGGACGATTTTGATTTTAAATCGATTTTCATTAAAGTTTGCCCTTAAAAATATTTTTTGATCTTTCCGCTCATTAATCAAGTTTCAAAACCATTTTTATTTTGTTTCCCCCAATACATATTATAAAAGTCTTGTACAGACTGTGCTGATATTGCAAGTATAATTTATGTGCTGCTGGAACTCTCACAATATCCTTCATTCGATTTCTCGATTTTCACATTTTTCACATTCGATTTTTTCAAAAGCCGATTAATTGCCTAAATTTGATTTGTTGCCCAGCCCTACCAAGACCTGAATATTTTGTCACTTGATTAGACTTACTTAGACCTTCTACTAAACTACATATGACTGATTGTAATTTTGTTGCATAAAAGCAGAAATACATTTGGAAAGTATTTGTTTTTTAGTCTCTTGTTCTCCAGCTTTGAAACAGCAGCAGCTCACTTAATTCTGGCTCCTGGCCGAGGTTCAGAGGCTCTTGCGCTCTCATCTATTTACAACTCCAATGCACATACCATGGGGCTACACAAATAAGGCTTCAGTCCACATTAACTGGTATGAACTAAAAGCACAAATATTGTTTTTAAAAGAGTTATTTTAAGCCTTCGTTATGGTATATGTTTTATTAGGTTTAAAAATGCGCTATTGCTACAACAAAATGTAATCTATCCATGATATCAATCACTATGCCCTTGCCTTTTTGCAAATAAGCTAACGATTTGATCTACTATCTGAGAATCACCGTCAGTTGCATTTTCCACACTTATCTAACGTGTTAAAGTCTCGCGCAATATGACCATATCCTCATTTTTTTTACATGAGCAGACAATTTGAACCTTTTGTTTCCTGAGGTTTTGTCTCTGTATAATGTTTGTGAGCTGATTTGAGGCAGCCCATTTCTGCAGCGTAGTAGTAACACAACGGTGGTCTTTGTAAAGTGGGGGCGGTGGATGTTCTCTCGACTCAGACGTGAGAAAACACTAGGCTGTGTTATCTCTAAAACATTCTAAATAAGTAGCATTAACTGTAACGACAGTATTTATCATGATTGTCTTCCTTGTCCTTATAGCTGAGGTTCTTAACTTTTTGTGGTGTTATATTATTATTACACACACAGGTGCACATTTGACATTTACCTGTCTGTGGTCACTGATCGCTGAGGTCGCATTCATATCTTTGGATCTGCAACTATCGACGTGCAGAAAGGTTCCCAACAATACGTGTTTTTTCTGTTATTTGATAAAAGTGGAGTATGTGCTCAGTATCGTGTGATCACATCAGCAGTGGATTATGTCACGCTTAGTCATGCCAAGATGCATTGCACTCTTCACTAGATATTGACTTTTATGTTTTGTGCTATCAATTGCTATTAAAACATAATACAAAATGCTTATAGTTTGATTTATCCATCCATCCATCCATTTTCTACCCTTTAATCCATTTCTGGGTCAGGGGGGTGGCAGTCAGAGATGCCACCCAAGTCTCATAGCACCAGCTAGTTTGATTTAAGTTACATTAATCCACAGCTTCATTAATTTCCTCAAAAGACTTTAGGCATGCTTAAGGAGTTTGTGTGATATGAGATAAAAGTAAAACTTAAGATTGACATTGTTTTTGTTTCTAATAAATTTGTTGGAAGCTGTTGACTTTATTTTTCCCCCCGTTCTGTAGTCCAGCAGGAAAATGTATAAAATGTCCTTAACATGTTTTGCTTTAACATCTGGTCATGCAGAAATGTTTCACAGGATCACCGAGCATTGAGCTCACAGTACATTGTTGTACATGAGGTTCACACACAAGTAACACACACCTGTGAAATTAAAACAAAATAGTGTTATTTATTATTTGAAATATCGGAACGTGAAAAGTAGGGTGTGAACAAGTATTCATTCAGTATTTCACACCTTGCCCTAACGGTTAAATAGAGCCCACCTGTGTGTGATCTATTCTCAGTTTATAAACATTTGACATTTTTTTAATCATCACCTTGGAGTGGAAAGATTATGGCACATTATGCAAATCTTCCAAGACTCCAAGCTGTCTTTTTGAACTAACAGCGAGCATTACAGATGCAGGCATGAGGCCGATGGTTTCTCTGCAGGAGCTGCAGACAACCACAGCTCACATGGGGTAATCTGTGCATGGGCCGATGATACACAACACACATACACTGGCCTTTATGGACGAGTGCTAGATAGAAAGTCAGTGTTGAAGTAAAGCTGCGAGAAGCAAAGCATTAAATTCCTTAAATGTGGATTACGGTGCTGTGATCAGATGAGAAAGAAATTGGCCCAATTGCAAAATGTTATGTATGACTCAAAGCATCATGCTGTGGGGTTGGTTTTCTCCTGCAGGGTCTAGAGCAGGGGTGTCAAACTTATTTTGGTTGAGGGCCAAATAAAAAATGAAAAGGCTGGTTTGGGGCCGAAAGAAAAAGTGGGTTTCATTTGTTATATTTTTATAATATGAAGGTATCTAAATAAATGACTTGTTTCACATTAGTTAGATTGGATATTCTTTTCTGATTAGAATTAGTTCAGTTCCTGTGGACTGAACCCAAACTGGGCCAAAACTGGACCAAATATTGAAGGTATAAAGGAGGACGTTCTACTTCCGGGTGGATCATCAAGACTATTGGTCTTCTTAACTGTCAATCATTCTGGTGATTCGTGCTCGTCAAATAAGACCAGAGTTTTGTTCAAAAAGTGGAGAGGGCGGTTCTTTCCTAAGAAAATTGGGAAATCCTGCTTCATATCTTTAAGAAGAAATGTAATTGAAGACCCGTAAAAACATAACAAAACTAACTTCCAATTACATGTTGGGTTAACATTTCTTATGGAATTAAATGTTATGGTTGTTTTCTTGAGAAAATTAGTAATGGATAACATGCCATTGTCGCCTAATACCATCGATGCTGCTATTTAATATAATCATTTAAAATAATCTCGGGGGCCACTGGAAATGGTCTCGCGGGCCGGATCTGGCCCCCAGGCTGTGACTTTGACACCTATGGTCTAGAGCAGTGTCTCCCAAAGTGGGGTCCGCGGCCCCCTGGTGGGCCGCGAGGGTACTGCAGGGGGGCCGCGGGAGGTCATAAAAAAAATTATATCATTATTTAATGTTAAATTTATAATGTTTTGTTTGTAATATTAAAATATTTGTGTTCATTATTTGACTTGAATAATCCACTGTAATCATTTTTATATTACAATGTTTGTAGCAGAGGCTATTTCCCCAAAATAAAATAACCAGAAGAGCCTATTCTTAATGTTGTCTTCTTGGTTATTATTTTGGGGGGCCACGCAGACCCGTCAAATTTTTAAGGGGGCCTCGGTGTTACTGAGTTTGGGAATGGCTGCTCTAGAGTGTCAGAGTTGATGAGAAGGTGGATGGAGAAAAAATCATTACATTATTGGAAGACATTATTAGGGACTCCACAAAATGTACTGTATGATTGATTTTGCAAACCTCACATTTTATTTTGATGTTGTGGTCTTTTTAAAACATTTCGCAAGGCAAGATGAACATGGGACCATTTCTGTGTGTTGGTGGCTCAACTGCACTGTCCTTTCAACTAAAGTTATTAGAAGTACATCCCACTTCGGGCCAAAGTTAGATCGCATTATACTGGACCATTTTCAAAACGCGGTGGCTTCTCAGTCAACACTGTCTGTCCATTAAGAAAATAACATTCCTTCCTTATCTAAGTCGGTGATTCTTGTCTCTCTGTACTGGTGCTTTACAAAACCACAAATCAAATACTGAGCACTGTACAAGCTTCATTTTGTGGCTTCAAATATTTATTATATGGCTAATTGAAATTTCAGTTGATATCATAAAGGAGTGAGGCTGTTTTGGGGGATGGGCTAAGTCCTCTCAACTATCGACTGCACGGGTGTCCAGTTTCTCTGCTGCCATTCCTGTTGCAGACACCAGATTTCACATTGATTTTTGTTTTTGTTAAAACAACTCTTGTGGAACTTGAACTTTGGGTCTTTTCTGTGAACATTTGAGTTCATTGTGTCTGTCTGTGCCAAGGATGTCGTGGTCAAGGCTTTACCGTTCCATTGCCAATAATGGTTTTATGTGATCTTTTGCCTCTCATAACTGACACTAGAGCACAGACTGAACATATTTGTTCCCATTAAACACAATAAGCAAAGGAAATATTATACCTCTTTGTTCTTTGCATATTTATAATAAAGCTTCGAATACAATATCCAACATGAGACCAGTGGCGGGGGGTCCCGGCTCAAAAACGTCCATGAGCATATGGGCTGACATACTTGCAATACCACCCTGGGCCAGTGGGGGTGGACCCAGGAAGAGAATTAAGAGAATTATTCGATGCTTTTGTATGGCGTCTTCTTTCCTTTCAAAAACTGCTAACAGGCTGGTCCAAAAGTTGTCTCTTGGCCCAAAGCTACATTCCAGCTTTGGGCCAGCTGTCAATGCTGAGGGGGTATATTTTTTTGGACTCCTCTAGTTTAGCCGCTGTGGACTTCAGAAGACACTCTCAAATGAATGGAGCTGGTGCCGGCTAAAGCATGCGCAAATGCGTTTTTTTTACATTTTCCTGTGGGAGGGGCTGCCCGCGGCCATTTGGAAAAAGCCCCATAGAAGCCAAAAGTGATGGCACATCAGTTTCAATGGCGGAGATAGGCGTGACTACGTCCATTCATATTTACAGTCTATTCATGAGACAGAACATAACACTCATTCACCACTGTATTAGGTACACCTTGCTAGTACCAGGTTGGATCCCTTTTGGCCTTCCAAACTGTCTTAATCCTTCCTGGCATAGATTCAACAAGGTAAAAGCCACATTCCTCAGAGTCCATATTTATGCAGGAGGGTCTGGTGGACAGTTAGTGTCTAACAAAAAGGACTGTGGTGATGATCCAGGACACTTTTAACATTCTACAACATTAATGGACATTTATCAGCATGTGTTCTATATTCTTTTTGTGTCTTAACTGTTGATTCTCTGATCTGTGTTGGTGATTTCAATAGTTGTGTTAAGTTCTCTGAGATGACCACTGTTGTGATTTAGGGCTATACACGAATAAATTGTATTGTATTGTATTTGATAGCAACATGCAGTTCCTGCAGATTTGTCGGCTGCACATCCATGATGCGAATCTCCGGTTCCACCACATCCTAAAGTTGCTCTTTTGGATTGAGATCTGGTGACTGTTGAGGCCATACAGTAAAGTGAATTTATTGTCATGTTCAAGGAACCAGTCTGTGATGATTTTTTACCTAATAAAGTGGCCAGTGAGTTTATACCTCTTGGTTCATCCCCATCTGTGGCCTCCTACCTCTTTGTTTTATTTTTTATGTTATACAAAAACACTGAAGCTCCAGGAACAGATGTGACGTTACTGTTACTGATAATGGCCAGGACACTAATGAGCAATTTTGTCTAATTGAATTTATGGCCGAAAGCATGTCATGAAATCACATTTGAAGAGAGTGGTTGTGGCTGGTTTCATATTCATCATACAATGTGTAGGATGATAAGTAGGATTTACGTACAAATCTGTTCCTAAGAACCGTTCGTGAATGAGGCCCATTGTCCATATTTCGCTTTAGCTCTTTACTACCATTCTATATCTATTTATGATTTTATAGATTCTACAATTGAACAGTCATTTGTGAAGAGAAATAAATCCAATGCAAGTTACATGTAATTTTCTTTACAGGTCCTTGCATGAATGGCGTCGCAGGAAGGGGAGGAACCCCCTCCATATTCAGGCCAATCAGATAGTCGCCTCAAAAGCAAAAAGCCTCCAAGTCTTAGAATTGCCATTCCCACAAGTGCAGAAAACATGGATCCAGATCCTGCTAAACAGGTAAACTGTAGCTACTGATTTTGGGGTTGCTGAAGAGCAGTTGTGAATCATTGCACAGTCAAGATTAATGGGGTTTTGTTGAATAGATATTTTATCATTAAAAACATGTTTTTGAGATGCAGTTGATGTGCCACATTATCATGCCAAAGTTGTATTTTTGTTCATAGTTCTGTAATCAAACAATACAGTAGTGCCTTTTTCCTTTTACTTGGTTGGTTAAATGGATGAATTTAAACATGTTTTTATATCCGTAGATGTGATAGCGGAAGCCTGCTTTACCTGTATGTGGTGTTGCCGAGCATGTTTATGAAAGCATTTTGGACAGCTGTCTGTAGCACTCGGACACAGGGTCATACTTTCCCCCCGACAGGCCTCGTGCACAAATGACAGCCTTAGGCAGCACTAAAGTTCAGCTGACCATGCTCTTGCAACACCATTTACTTTTCCTACTGTAACCCCGCATTTAAGTGTAACATCGAATGAGACATTATGTGCACCCCTGGAGCAAGGGAAGCAAACATAGTTTGACTGTTCTATAATTGCAGAAGGAAAAATAATACATTAACATGCTTACAATCTAAACTTATGTAAAGCGGGTAACACATTTAAGAAATCCTTTATTCGTCCCACAGCGCTGAAATTTCAGTGTTGCATCACAAGTTACAGAACAGTAGGAATCCGGAGCACACAGCTCAAGATAAGTGAACAATAACTATACTAATTAAAATAAAACAAATACTCTAACTCTTGCATAAAAGAACAAGAATAAATAAATAATTTCTTTCTTGAGCATAATAGTAACAGAGTATAAACATTTTACATGTACTGTGTATTCTAGTTTAAGCAATATGTAGTTATTTGTTTGTATCAGAAACCACGTTCACAACTGTCAAGTAACATTTATTCACCATTATTTGGACTCTTTGTATTGTGCTCTAAACATTGTCTCATAAGTCTCTTAGACCTGCACTCAAGAAAAGTGCAAGTGGTCAAGCTCCCAGCTCTATATCCGAGAGTTTCAGTGGCGCCGGAGATGGAAGCTTCTTGACCAGGGACAGGCGATCTAAGTTCGGCAGACAAACCTCACTCTCACAAAGTATTCGAAGGTAAATGATTCAATCCCACAAACCACATCTAATTCTAGTTAGTTAATGTTATTTGTGTAGATGATGACCAAAAAAGGACTCTAAATTGTAATGAAATGTGTTGCTTTTTTTCATTGAGACAGTGCTCTTAGTTCACACGGACATATTTAAGAATAGGGAACAAAACTAGGACTCAATTTTTAAATTTGGTTTGCCTCATGGCTAAAAAAGCCTCAAATTAGGACCAAATATTTGTGTATGGACAGAGCTACTGCATCTATCGGCATGCAATTAGAATCAGAATATTTTTATTTGCCATTTTTAATGTAAATCATTGGAATGCATGCAAAAATACCCAGTGTGCATCAGGGACTACAAGGAATCACAACAAAACAATCAATGTAAATTTTCAAGGACAATCTTCTTGTCTAATCGCTGCATTGCATTATGCTTCGTTGTTCAGTTATCAAACTAAACAACAAAGTAGATGGTCTGTGACATCAACGCAGACTGGTCCCTACCTTGAGGTTGAATATGGATCCAGACAATGCAAAACATTTTTGTAGGAAACTGTAGGAAGTATGTTTACTATGTGTTTGTTGTAGGAACACGGCACAATGGTTTGGAGTGGGTGACAACTGTGAGAGCAAACAGCAGGTCTGGCACCGCAAGAGCCTGCGCCACTGCAGCCAGCGCTATGGCAAACTCAAGGCTGAGTATCGGGAGTCTGAGGTAGCGACGAGTGTCGACCAGGGCCCAGAGTCTCCCACCACTCATAAGATGAAAAAGGTTAGATATTTTTATGGAAGAGATTTGTTAAGATCTTTTTTTCTTGTACAGTATGGCTAGCACACAGATTATGCGGCGAAAATAAAGTGTGTTAGTGTGGTAGACATAGCCCATTTGTGACATGAAAGATTATCACACTCCTGTTATACATGGTACATTTTCATGTCCCTACTGTATTTGAAGAGTTATCATGGTGATTTGTGTAACTCCAGATTGTCGATCCACTGGCCCGAGGACGAGCATTTCGTGGGGCAGAGGAGGTGGATGGTTATCCAAAGACGCCCCATCTGACTCAGGCCGGACCCCATACTCCAGCGTTCACCTCTGCATCCTCCTTCACCAGTCAGCGCTCTGGATACAGCCGCTTCCCCAAACGCAAGAGGGAGTCTGTGGCGCGCATGAGCTTCCGCGCAGCCTCCAACCTGATCAGGGTAAGTGCAGTCATGTATGTTTGATTCATTGCTACTTACTTTAAAGCAGTGGTCCCTAACCCTTTTAAAGCTGGGAGCTACTGTAAGATTACTAAATTAAATTAAAGCAGCAATACATAAGATTTTCATGTCAAGTAATCATTAAATGGCTCTAATATGTCAAAAGTCATTAAGAAACCATGGTCTTTTCAAATACTTCTTTTAACTGATGACAGTAGTTAAAAATTAGTGTTACAGGCCATACTTTTTGTGATTGTTTTCATTCCAATGTCCTGCCCTCCACCATTTCACATCTGTTATCCGGGTTGCCGGAGCTCACCGCGTTGGGCTAATCTCACTGGTAAAGTACCATGTGGCCACAGAACTAAAAAGGTCTCGTTATGATTCTCAAATCATTAAGGACAAAACAAGAAAGAATATGAGGATTTCTATTAGGCCTTTGTGAAAAAGGTGTTGGTTATAGATTAGATTTGTTATTGACAAATGTCTTATATATTCAGTTACGGTCCCAGCATATCTGGCAACCTGGGTCAGGGAGAGTGGGAGAGGATGCAGTACCACTTTTGGACAGATGTTTATATATTCCTCTTTTAAAGAACATTTATGTGTAATTGTTTATCACCCCTAATTTATTTATGTTTATCATGGCTTGGAAATATCTGAAGATCAATCCATACATTATTTATCATCTCATTATTGTCATTGTCAATCTATTTGTGCCATGTTAAAATTGGTGTAATCAATATTAAAATCACTAACCAAAAAAAACCATGTCATAGTTTATAGCTTTAGAACTCCTTGGTTCTATCAACAGTTTCCACAAACAAGAACAAACCTTATACAGCTATTAAGCACTCACCCCAAACTGTTAAATAGTGACTCACCGGGCGTGTTGGTGACCCCTGATATAATTCAAGTTTTATTTTTTTTCAATCTAAGTAAGTAATCTTTATTCACTGTGTGTACCGCCTTTCACAGACCAGAGTCACAAAGCGGTTATTTTTGGGCATTTGTCCACTCACTCCACACAGAGATGGGAGCGGGGTCACCAAGGGATCTAAACTCCAGCACCTGCAGCACATGAGTAACTAGAGCTGGTGGACTACATGTGGATGTGTTGTACATCCAGATAAAACATTGTTTTGTAGGTTATTGAATTTGTACGTTCAAGAGACAACAGACTGTTCTTTTTAAAGCTAAATGTTGTAATCCTGTTAGTGTGTGTGAATTGCTGTTGTTATATGTATTTCTTTATTGGTCTGGGACAGACATGTCTCAGTCAAATAAAGAAATACAAATATACACTGCACCAGTTGCTGTTAATGAAAAGAGTAGTTGAAAAACTGCATGTTGATAGCACCACCTTGTGGCGGTATTATAACTGAACATTTTCTCACTGTTTAACATAAATATCCTTTCAGAGTTCCTCTTCTAATGTCACGTATGCAGTATTTACAGTCGTAGTCATAGTTGTGTGGTCTTTGCCCAGGGTCATGGTGGTCTGGTGGGCTCGCAGACTAGTCGCAGTTATCCAAAAAGAAGCTTCATGCGTCCCAGCTGGATGGACGAGGACAATGTGGACTCTGCCGACACGTCTCGATCCATCTTCTTTGGAAAGGTTTATTTGACTTAATTTATGAAACAACAGCACATGCACTTTACAGATTCTAATGAGTCCAAATTAATTTTCAGGGAGATGCTCGAGATGAGTTTTACTCCATGGCCGATGATGTATTTGAGTCACCGCCCATATCTGCCTCTTTTGGAGACACACCTGACCACAGCCAGTGAGTAACCAGTAGGTTTAATGTTATCAAAGTATTTTTTATGTTTTCTAATTAAGCATGATATTATTTTCCCCCAATAATTGAAGCACAGAGATATCTAGAACTCCCAAAGTTCCAGGAGCCGCACTGGAGCAGGGCATCCCTCGTCGCGGCCGGCGCATTGCTTCGCAAGTGAAGCATTTTGCTTTTGACAAACAAAGGCGACAGTACGGCATGGGCGTCGTGGGCAAGTGGCTGAACCGTCATTATCGACGCAGCCTCAGCAGTAACGTCCAGAAACAACTGGATGACTTCCAGAGCCACAGGTCTGCAACAATCTCCTGCTATAAATGTCTTTATTTCAATCCTGCAGGTACATCACGTAGCCTCTCTTATTAGATTTGATTATCAACAGAAAATATACATTTCCATTTAAGAATGTTATACAATATTTGATTTAGTTTCAAGAAAAAAAACAACTATTTGACTGTACAATTATTGATTACAGGCCTTACTTCACCTATTGGATAACATTTGTTCATATTGTAATCACGTTGCTGGCGTGTTGTACATATGGTTTTGCCCCTGTGGGGTTCGCACAGCACACAGATACTCAACTGGTGAGTAAGTTTATAAACTCCTAATTCACATTGTACCTAAGTTTCATTATCATATATTTTTCTCATGTGTCCTGTAGGTGCTTAAGAATAAAGGCATTTATGAGAGTGTCAAATACATTCAACAAGAGAACTTTTGGATTGGTCCCAGATCTGTAAGTCATTTGAATAAATTATGTTAATTCAAACATACATTTTTACATATCCTGGTCTTGCCACACGTACACATTGTTCATTGATCCATCTTTTCTTTTCTTGCTTAGGATGACCTGATCCATCTTGGAGCCAAATTCTCACCATGTATCCGAAAGGATATGCAGATTGTCAGCCTCATTCAGAAAGCGAAAGACCTGGAGAGGGATTCTGGGTGCTGCGTCCAGAATGACAACTCTGGGTGTGTGCAGACGCACCGCGCAGGCTGCTCTGTACGTGAAACATCCCTTTTATTTTGTTTTTTATTACAGCTTCACAACATGCAACAGTTTGTGTGAGTTGGTATACATCTCTTATTGTCGAAGCTATATTCTGCTGTTACTCGATATGAACAGGTACCTGTAGAAACTCGATGACATTCTGGTTTGTCAATGTTTCTTGGTATCTTGTATAGTTTATTCATACAGGTGAAAAATTCATGAATAAACTGAATAAAGCCTGTATGCTTTGACTCTGATGATATCATAATTCATTCAGGAGACACTGGCCACTTTTATCAAATGGGAAAATGAATTTGTTGATACCATTAGGTCATCTGGTGCTGTTTGTCATCAGGACCCGAGGTAATCTAATTTAGTTCAATTTTGGGTTTCACTTTATTTTACAACCAGTAATCATACTATTGTTTTATTAGAGTATGTGAGGAACCTGCGTCTGCTGAACCTCACGTGTGGCCAGACGATATCACACATTGGCCTGTAAGTCAACATTTAAACTGAGATAATCTTTTTTTTTTTACTTTTTTTTGCTCAATGTTTAATGACACAATCTCCTATCTTTTCATAGATGTGCACATTCCCCACTGCATGGAATCACACAGGCTACAGACATATGGACTGCAAAATCAAGGGAAGACCATGCTGTACAGGAACTAAGGGCAGGTAGAAACAAAATAAATTAGCCCTACTGCTCAACAATTTTAGAATACAGTGGGGCAAATAAGTATTTAGCCAGCAAGTTCTCCCACTTAAAAATATGAAGGAGCCCTGTAATTTTCATAATATGTATACCTGAACTAAAAAGAAATCCAGAGAATCACATGGGCTGATTTTTTAAAATAATTTATTTATAAATTATGGTGCAAAACAATTATTTGGTCCCCTACAAACAATCAAGATTTCTAGCTCTCACAGAACTGTAACTCCTTCCTTAAGAGGCTCCTCTATCCTTCACTCATAACCTGTAATAATGGTACCTGTTCAAAATCTTTAGACCTGCACCAGGATGGGAAGACTGAATCTGCAATAGATAAGAAGCTCTGTGTGACGAAATCAACTTTGAGAGCAATGATTAGATGATGGAAAACATACAAAACCACTGATATTCTCCCTCAATCTGGGGCTCCACCAGTGGGGGCGGGTCCCGGCTCAGAAATGTCCAAAATGACGTGCCCTGACATGCTTGCAATACCACAGCGGGCCGGTGGGGGTGGACCTGGAATAAGAATTAGCCAATGCTAATGTATAGCATTTTCTTACCTCTCAAACGGCTTTACAGGATGGTCCAAAAGTCGGCTCTTGGCCCAAAGCTACGTTCCACATGTGTGTCAATGCTGAGGGGAGTGTATATTTTTTGGACCAGCCCAGTTTAATCAATGTGCAATTTTGAAGGCACTCGTCAAATGAATGGGGCTCGTGCCGGCTGACGCATGCGCAAATGCGTTTTTTCACATTTTGAAAAGACGGCAAAAGGGATTGCACATTAGTTTCAACGGCCGAGATAGGCATGACTAAGTCCGTTAATATTTACAGTCTATGGGCTCCACGCAAGTTGTCACCCTGTGGGGCCAAAATGATCACAAGAACGGTGAGCAAAAATCCCAGAACCACACGGGGGGACCTAGAGAATGATTTGCAGAGAGCTGGGAACAAAGTAAAAAGGTCCTGGAGTGACCTACCCAGTCTCCAGATCTCTAGAAAATCAGCGACAGCCCCAAAACAGCAGTTTTCCCCAACCTTTTTGAGCCGTGGCACACCTTTGTCATTGCTAAATATCACATGGCACACCACTGAATTTTATTCAAAATTGAAACTCTCCAGCCTTTATTAACAAAGCAAATCATTCTCATCAATGTGTGTTATATAGCAAATGAAACGAGCACAAAAAGTATTTCTAATCATTTCACGTTATTTCCTTTTCACATGATTATTTGGTATATATATTGGACTATTTCCAAGGCACACTGATAAACGTCTCAAGGCACAACAGCGTACCAAGGCACACTGGTTGAAAAACACTGCTCTAGAGGAGGTCTGCATGGAGGAATGGGCCAAAATACCAGCAACAGTGTTTGAAAACCTTTTGAAACCTTTTGAGCTCTGTCATTGCCAACATAGGGTATATAACAAAGTATTGAGATGAAATACAAAATACTTAGTTACCACCACAATTTGCAAATAAATTCTTTTAAAAATAGACTATTTGATTTTTCTGGATTTTTTTCTCATTGTGTCTCATAGTTGAGGTATACCTATGATAAGAACTTGCACAATTGGTGGATGACTAAATACTTTTTTACTTTTGTGATGCCAGGAATTATTATAGTACAACAACTGTATTAGCAGGTCTGCATGTCAACTGCTAACTTACTACTTAATCATGTATTATTTATGTACAACTTTGGTTACAGTCTTATCTGTGTAAACATAGATCACTAGTTCAAGCAAAGCAATTACAAAATACACGGCATATACAAGGCAAAACGCACAAACTGGCTAGAGGATGTTCACCGTTGTACTCCGTATCGTGTTTAAGCCGTGGTGTCTTACACTTGGTTTATCACGTATGTTTTTTGCAGATGTGAGATCGCAACCAGAGAGTATTGCTCGTTCATGCGAGGGTACTTTCACGAAGATGCCACTCTCTGCTCCCAGGTAAACAAACTTTTTTTTTCTTCTTTTTTTCCATTATAACAAATTCCATTCCATTTTGCAGGTGCACTGTTTAGACGACGTGTGTGGACTGCTGCCTTTCCTCAACCCAGATGTCCCAGATCAGTTCTACAGACTCTGGCTCTCTCTGTTCCTCCATGCAGGGTATGTGTTTTCAGTTTACACTATGATCACATACAGAGGTGGAAGTATTTTTACTCAAGCACAGTAAATGTGTATTTAACCTGGTATTTCACCAACCATCTGCATTTTACTTGACTATTTATTTTCCTGACAACCTTTTACTGCTTAAATGTAAGTTAAAGTTATTGTTCAGATGATGACATAAAAAACTAGTATGTGCCATATTTAACACTTTTCCCGACTTTCACAGGTAATTCTTAAGGGAATTACCATAACTTATTCTTAAGTACAGAAGACGCTTCTAATTACCTCAACATTGTAACCATTAGTCTTTATTAATATTTTAGAGCAGTATTTCTCCTTGAGGTTTTGATGGCAGTTAAAATATTATTGGGGTGTTTTGCAATGTGCTCCACGTTTTATACTCTTTTTGGTTCATCTTTATTTAGATGTACTAGAGAAAGAATGTATTATTATTATTATAATTGAATAAAATAGCACAAAATAAGTAATAAAGTAAGTAAGTAAATCTTTATTTATATACCGCCTTTCACAGACCAGAGTCACAAAGCGGTTTACAATTGTTATTTTTGGGCATTTGTCCTCTCACTCCACACAGAGATGGGAGCGTGATTGTTTTATTTAAAGCCTATTGAAACAGATTTACTGTAAAATACAGAGTAGTGTATGTCTTGACTTTGTGTATCAAGCCAGTAAGAGAACTCCAAACAAAAAAAACAAAAACTAAAATAATTTAAAAAAAAATTTAATCCAAAATATTGTTGCTAATACATTTTCTCTAATGTTTATGTTTTTGATTAGAAATAGGCCTGATATATGTCAAACATGGAAATGATATTGTCTGCTTTACTTATGACAGGCTAATGCACTGTGCGGTGTCTGTGATTTTCCAAATGACCATTCTGAGAGATCTGGAGAAACTGGCGGGTTGGGGTCGCATCTCGATCATCTACATCTTAAGTGGAATGACAGGAAACCTCGCCTCTGCCCTTTTTCTGCCTTATAGAGCTGAGGTGAGTATCACTGTTTGTACCAGAAACATTTCAAATGGTTATAGAAAGTGGAAACAATCCTAATAGCTCTCCCCATTTAAGTGTGCAAACAGGATTAGGGGGCGTGGCATTAAAACTAAGCTATAAGGTTGAACTCCGCGTGTATTTGATTGGGAGATAGATTTGGGCTGAAACGATTAATCGAGTTAATCGAATAATTCAATTACAACAAAGTCCGAAGTGAATTACTTATGATTGATCCAGATTGTGCCTGACTTTCCTCTCATTGGCACCACACATAGTCCCCGTCCAAAGCCCAGTTGTTGAGGATTAGTTTAATACCATTGTGAGTCAACAACTAAAAAGGGCTTCAGTGTCGGGTGAAGTGGATTACAAGTTTTGTTGACACATTTGTTGCTTTCCACCTGTATGCCTGTAGTGCACGCAGGTAGGAAGAGCAGATGTACAGTATTCACTGCACCTGTTTCACTAATGTACAAGTGATATAAGACTATTGACTGTCCTGATGTTGGGGGGAGGTTTGATGGTCCCTCATCACAAAGTTGTTTTTTGATCCAGACACTTTTGGCACAATCATGTTGCCTCTTCTGTCTAATGTGTGATGTAATTGCACTACTATGAGGCCACACTCGGGCAATATATAAAGAGAAAATAAGTTCTTTCAATCACAAGGCTGTGTTTACAGTCAGTAAAGATGGGTCGATAGCATTATTTATCCTTGATACTTGTTTCACTATATATTTTTAAGCTATTATTTCACGTTCTGAAACATGAATTGACAAAGACAATGGTCTCATTCAAAGGTTCAATGATCAAAAATAAAGTTTAAAATTCAAGATTTCTTTTCTCATTTAATCTTTCAATGCTAGTTGTCATCCGCATCTGTGCCCTATAAGCTGAGCCCATGTCACGTATGACATGTGTGCTTTTCTGTTGACTATGCTGATTCCTGAAATCCCACTTCAAGCACAGATTCTCATACTCCGGGAATAAACACGCACAGCATTGGACACTGAGGGCGGTCAAGCCAATTAAAGGCTAAGTGGATTACCGTTTAACTTGTGAGAGACCTTCTTGTGGCTGCATCATAATGACTCAGACATCAGCTGTGAACGGAATCTTCTTTCCAGTTAAGCGGTTAAACAAGTAATTTTTAACAACTTGGTGTTGATCTACCTACATGTTTGGAGTACAATATTTCTTGTCTTTATGTTGTAAAATTTCTCAAAATGCCAATATCTTATCATGCACGGTAAAGGTGAAATTTGTACTCTTTAGCACAGTTACTCATTTCTTATGCCATTGATAAATTCTGATTATCTAAATAAAATAGACACTTGATGAAATATTTTAAAGACTGCTATTAACCTTTTTTATTCAGCTATCCATCCATTACATGTTTTTAAATCATTTGTTTTATTACTTGCACATCACAATCTAAGGCCTTACACATGTCGTTGTTTGCGTAGTGACAATGTAGACAAATTCTAAATGTACATTCTGGTATGTTTGTCTCTCAGGTGGGGCCGGCGGGGTCTCAGTTTGGCCTACTCGCGTGCCTTTTTGTGGAGCTGTTTCAAGGCTGGCAGGTGCTGGAGCGCCCCTGGAAGGCGTTTTTTAAGCTTGTTTGCATCGTGCTCTTTCTCTTCCTGTGTGGTCTTCTTCCCTGGATTGACAACATCGCTCACATTTTCGGATTCCTCAGCGGCATGTTGCTCTCCTTTGCCTTCCTGCCCTACATCACGTTTGGTACATTTGACAAATATCGCAAACGGATTCTAATTGCAGTCTCTTTGTTGGCCTATGTTGGGCTATTCTCATCACTTATTGTTTGGTTTTACATATATCCCATTAACTGGCATTGGCTCGAACACCTCACCTGCCTTCCATTCACAAATAAGTTTTGTGAGAAATATGACATTGATCATGACATTGGTCATGTGGTGCATTAGTCAAAGAAGGGATTGACTTCAGGATTAGGTCAATAAATCTGTGGTACTTTGGTGGTACTTGTGTATTAACGTCTAATAATGGAGTAAACGTAAGAGGACGGCATTTTAATGTTTCATGCTTTATCCCTATAAAGATTGGATTCTCAGGAATATAAAAATGCCATCAACACTAATAATCTAAACATTTTGCCTGGAAAGTGGTACAAATGCCTTTACTGTGTATGACAATAGAAATTATGTATATTTGTGTTGGTTTAATCATGTGCTTAATTCATCAGATTATGTATACCTGGACAGGGACAAAGACATTTGGGCAGTAATCTACAACATTTTACAAAAATTCCAAAGCCACTTGTGCATGCTATTTATTTTACATGAATGTCTCAACACTGTTGTGCCTAGCTAATATATTATTTTATTGTTTTGGTGGTTCCTAAAAATGTGATTATCCATGAGTTTCAGGATGACGAAACATGAGGATTATTGCCATAATAGACAATTCTGTACAAATTATCCCAGCTTTTAGTTTGGGGAAAAATGGGCCTCAGAGTGTTGCATGAAATTGGAAGCTGAAGCTAAAACCTATGAAATGTTCGATATATCTTTGTAATCTGAGGAGATCATTCTTCAGATTTTATTTGCCTTGGCCTGTGCTGACCCCAGTGGTGGGAAAGCTGATGTAATGACTGTTATTATGAGTGATGGGATTATGTGTGTGTGAGTCATCGACTGTGTTCACGCTCTTGTTTTTGATACTCTTGTTTTTGTCACAACTTGTGTAAGAAAAATGTCTTGGTATTTATAGAAAACACATTATTTTTAAATCAATGGTTATGGGATTATTCAGATGGGACCAAAAACATCCTCTTTGTTAAAAGTGGAATGTTCTACTGTTTTCTGTCAGTCAAGTCAAAATAAATAAAATAATTTCAACACTTAACGCATCACAATACTCCATTAGGAGTTTATTCTTATGTTCATATCAACCAGATGTATGATGCTGTTAAAGCAAACAACTAAGGTAACATTTTTTTTATTTGAAAAGGACAAAACGCATCATGTGCATTTTAAAATAATTTACATAGGAAATACAATCCTAAAATACGCTTTTATGACTTCAAATGAGAATAACTGTCAAGTTCACATCTGACAGGGGAAGGCCACATTTCACTGAAGTAATCACTGACAAAAGTATTTTCTGCATTGTACTACATTCACAACTGGACCCAGTGCCTTAACTGTGTATAGAGCGCACCTCAGAACTGACCAGGTGGAGAAGTCCCATGTGACACCTCAACCTCCCACAATTCACTCATTCAGAGGATGCACTGATGAACAGCTGTTGGTGGGTGACATTGACAAAGTACATTGATATGTTGAAATACTATCCAGACAGAATTATTTGGCATGCTTTTAGTAGTCTTTGTAGGGGTCAAGTTTTCCATGATCTAAAAGCCTTGGAATACTCAACCACCATTAAAAAGTTTCCTTTTTTACATTCATATTTTCAATACTGTTATTCTATTCTGTGTACATTCATTTCAGTGTATTTAACCATACGCAGCATATCTTTTAATCTCTCTAACAGTTCTTGCAAAGAGAATGTGTCTCCGACCCACATCTTTGATCTGTTATGTCCAACTCTTTAGCATCCACTGTTTCTGCGCATGAAGGCATGACCTTGGACAAGATAAAACATCTCCATGAAAGTGAGGGGTCCTACTGTGATCGCACAGGGACCCTGCACCTTAAATCCAGATTTCTGGTAGAAAGGAACCAGGAAATCCTCACACATGAGCACTGCACGATGCACGTGTGGCAAACAGCGGAGGTATTGCAGGTATCTCCACATCAGGATGGAGCCTTTCCCCTGTTGGCGGAATGTCCTGTGTACAGCGAGTACATGGATATGAACAAAGTTCCCATGAGGCTTGTGGAGGGTCAACGCATCCTATGAATTACAAAGAAACAAATAGTATAAACAAAATTAAGAAACCAAAGCATGAGTGTTCACTCATGCTTTGGTTTCTTAATTTTGTTTATACTATTTGCAATACAACTGGAAAATCAATCATCTACAAAAAACTACAAATATTCTCGAAAAGAGGTTTCTTATGCAGGTGCACAGGTAGGCCAACCTCGTTAAGCCGCTCTTGGTCCCACAGTGAACCGATGATAAAAGCCACCAGACGTCCTTCTTCAAACCAGCCAAGAGACAACTCAGGACAGAGTGTGAGGAAGTGACGCACCTCGTCCAGGTGAAGAGGACACTCACCAGAGACTGAGATGAAAGCTTAGGACAACAAAAAATCTCATTAAAGACTGAATTACAATATACAATTTGTACCTATACACACTCATAGCCCAATTGTGATAATGCTATTATTCACATCGTTATCACGCATGTGACCGTTCTGGATGTCACTTCTCCGTAGAAATATAAGAAATAACGACATTTCTATATTGATGACATGTTGTGAAAATGAGGAGAAAAATCAGCAGAAGGAAGAAGTGAGAGCTGTGTTTGTGGAGGTGTCATAACCGTCGCTGATTGTAAACATGAACACTCAATAAAGTTCAGTGCTTGTCTTACCTTCTCTCTCTATCTCGAACACGCTGATCGCGTCTTCGGGGCTGAGGGACCGAAACTCGCTGGCGGGGAGAGTGTGTCTGCGTCCCTGCGGAGAGCGCATGCACAGAGCTGGCTTCAGGAATGGCACAGCGTTCACCACGGACATGTCGGTCGTTCAACTTAGTGACGGCGAAGAATTTCTGTACTTGCCCCTGATGTCACGGATGTGTGAGCGACCTGTTGACTGTGCGCACAGTGGCGCACTTTAGATTTATAGCTGCGCTCAGGTCGCGTTGGTAATTATAATCTCACAGCCCTCGTGCCTTTTGGTAAATGAACTATGTAGCCTACGTGTTAAGTCGGGTTTAGTTGGAGTCAGGAGGGGGAATCCATGTAGAGATGATCCTCGTCACGCACGTACCTCATGGATTTTACTCAAAGTCCACTTGTTGTTTCACATACACACACACGGAACACACGCGCACGCATGCATACCCTATGCGTGCGTGCATGATCAAGGTTCAGCTGCGATATTGTTCCTTGCAGAATTGTATACATTCAAGTTTATTATGTTATCTTGAGGTATCTTAATCAGCCCTCTGTGACAGTAATCACGATTTCTTTTTTCAACATCTTTAAGAGGATTATTCAATGTGTAGGAGGTTGTTTGCGACCTCTTTCGTCTTAAATGCATGACGGATTTCTTTGGACCCGATACATGGCTTAAAATATATTTGCTGGAAATGTATATAAGAAAACAAACAGAGCAGAACACGACAACAATCAACATGAATACGATACATACATTAGGTTAGATACAGGTATTTGACATGTTCAGCTAAAAATAACATAAACACACGTTATTTACGCTGCTGTTTTTGTAGATTAAAGGGCCCATATCACGGTTTTTGACTTTTCTCTGCTTTAAACATGATTACAATGCTATTTGGCCTTCATACACAAGCCCACAGTAGTTTATTCATTGATTCTGTCAATCTTTTGTAAGAGAACAATCTGTCTCCTTCCCCAGCGTGAGGCACAGAAACGCTCGGGTCCACTTCAGTGACAAAAACCACACTGATGACGCGCATGACCCCGTTTGCTTTCTATTTAAAATAGTTGTTAAATACTTTTGTCAAAACGGGGTAAACAATACACAATTAGTATGCTGTTTTTTGTCAAAAATAATACAAATAAAAATAAATTAAAAGCCGGCGGGAGGTGATTGACGGATCAAAACAGCGAATCAGAGCGCACAGGCTCCGGCTCCCGAGTCCAGCGTCTGTGGTCTGGTCTCGCGGACACCACATAGAGCTGCTGTTTTTATGCTTTTGTCAGAAACTAAAAGTGTTAGGATCACGTCAACTTGAATGAAGTGTATTTTATGGGTGTAAATATGTGACACACTATTTGGCCCGAAGAGGAAGAAAGCGGCTCGACTTTCTTCATCTGTGCATCTCATGGATCTATTATAATACCGATTAATCTGCGACACTTCACTGAACTACAGGGACAATGGAACTGGACTTACTCAAAAGCTGATTTGGAAACACGTTATTCCCACGGTAAAAGACGTAACTCGGACCCCCTCGATCTGTAAGTAGTGACACTAACTCGCTGTATACTTCTGTAAACTAAATAACTAGGGTCTGATTGTGCATCGAGGACATAGGGCTCGATGTGACGGATTGTCATTGTTGGAAAAAGTTTATTCTTATGTATGAAATTACTAAATACAGGTGATAAACGACAAAAGCGTGATGCTACGTCACCGTGCGGGCGGGGGGAGGCGGGCTCACAGGCAGAGGAGCAGACTCTTCTCTGGATCAGCTTGTTTGAGTCGAGGTGACGTCACCTCTATACAAGAGATGGCTCTAATCTCACAAGCTTTGATTGTTGTGTGGTGTATCATACACATTAATATCATACATGTGTATAGGATTGAGTGTGAAACATGAAGAAAAGCGTGATATAGGACCTTTAAATACAGTCTAAATGAGTTCTAATTGTTGCATCTGAATCAAAGTACTTCAAGAGCATGAGACGTGAAATAGAGTTTACAGTGAGACCTACTGGCTCAATAATATGTTATTGAATTTTCACCATACACTGAGCTGATATCACGAATAAACATAACATCTGTTTGAAATGATTGCACGAATAAAAACGAAACTTTACCATATGCTAGATCCTCCTCTATGAACCTGACACAGTACTGCCCCTGTGGACATATGCGGCACTGCACCATGACACTTCCTCACTGCGCTAGTGACGCAGCGACGTAAACACACGTGCTGCTTCCAGGTTCAGTCTCAGCCTCGGCTCCAGCATCACTCCCTGAAACAACGGCAACGATGGCGGAGCCTGGACCAACAGATCCAACAGAGCCCACGGGCCCGTCTCCAGCAGCTAGCCCGGGGTCTGAGCCTCCATCCGCGACCTTGTCACCCACTGTGGACGGCTCCCAACGGCTCCTCTTTTCCCATGACTTGGTGTCCGGACGGCACCGCGGCTCTGTGCGTTTCGGCCTCGTAAGGATGATACACGGAGAGGAGGAGTTCAACTCGGACTCAGACCTCGACGACGATGGCGGAGGGAGAGGAGGAGGTGGTGGAGGAGGAGGTGGTGGTGGAGGAGGAGGAGGAGGAGGAGGTGGTGGTGGAGGAGGAGGAGGTGGTGGAGGAGGAGGCGGAGGAGGTGGAGGAGGAGGAGGAGGAAGGATCCCGGGTGGTTCTGACACTGAGAGCGCCTTGGATAGCCCGGGCCGTCCTCTGGGCAGGGGGTTTGTCCGAGTGCAGTGGTACCCTGAAGGAGGCAAGCAGGACATCCGAGAGACAAAGGTACCACAAGATCTGCTGCTACGCCCTGACATTGTATATGTTCATGAACACTTATCCAAGGTGTGCTTGTGTCGTAGCACACATAATCACGCTGACATTTTTACAGATAACACGTAATGTGCAGTCTGCAGCACATCAGAGCTGAGTAGCATCCATGCTAGCTAGCCCTTTAGCTTCTAGCCGCATGCCACTCCACTGGAGCTGTCATGGTAATCTGGCTTCTTTCCATAGACTGCACCAGGTATAAAAACACACTTTCAGCAATTTCCTCACATGTCACTCTGTTAAGTGTGCTTTGGAGTCTAATGAAGTCTACACATGGGCATGCAATTGTCAGAAACCAAATACCCATTGATTTAGCACATCTTTACTCGATGTTGTTGTACTGCTCTCATCTGGGTGTGACTTGGCCTGAGCTGTTGTCAAACGGCATCTTTGGATTTAATAAACATCCATGTTAAACCTGTACTTCAGGATTATGTACACTGCATCCGGGTAGACTAATGGTAATCCTAAAGTGTATTTGAATGCACAATTATTTACAAATCTGTACATGAAATTGAGCGAAAACAATGTGCCTAGAAATGACAAAAAATACTATGGCTTTACAAAATCCCACCTGCATGCCGTTAGTTCAGGGCAACACATCCACATTATTTGTTTCTCCCTGTATTGAAAGGCTAGGAGTCTGGAAATCCCACTATTGGCTTTCTCTCTTAGTGATGAGCCCAGAAGAAGCCTGTTTGCTCTGTGCTTTGTTGTTTGACTAAATGAACAAAGTTCTGGCTCTAGAGTGACACAGGTCTGAAACAATGACATGTTTAGAGAACAAAAGAAGACTGTCGCACATGAGTACATCCTCATAAGGGCCTTTACCCAAAATTTACTGTCCATGTTTTTTTTTTTAGATATCTGTTGCCATAGCCATTAAAAAATGATGAAAGGGTACAACACAGGGCTGAGTTCCTGTGATTTCACATCATTCTAAAGAGCCTATAGTTTAACATTGTGGTGGAGAGCAGCAATTAATCTGACTTTTGACTCTTACCGTAGTTACAAGGAAAGACCTCTTGTTGTTTATAGCTAATTTCGCTCATAATTCCTGGGCCCGTCTACACGGCGCAACAATGGTCACAAATTTCCATATCTTCTTTGTCAATGCGTATCGACTATGGTCTCATAAAGCGCTTTGTAACTCTGTTCTGTGAAAGGCGCAATAAAGATGTCATAGGTGTCTTAAAGTGGTGACAAAATGGTCATACTGAACTTGGACCTGATTGGTTAAACTTTAAGTTACCTACTAAGCAAGACATTTTTCGTCTTGTATGTTACAATAAATTTAAGATGTTTTTTGTTCTCACAATGAGAAAACATCAGTTCATTAGTTTAAAACAGGTAGTACTACCTAATTGAGAACGGTAGTGTGTGTTCATGTCAATAGGTTGTGTTCATTTTGTAGAATAATTTTTCAGTTGGAGGGCAGGTGCCAATACATCTCTATGAAATAAGCTCTTTGTGAAAGAAATGTCAATCATTGTTAGTGATTCAGACAAACTCAAACACAAACTCAAAATATAATTTGAATATAAAACAATATTAAAATCAACATAATAGTTTTCGTTTGAGAATGACAAACACTCAAAGCTCACCGTTCTCAATTTCCTGATCCCTAACCAGGATTCGAGCCAGTTTGTGAGTCTGTGACCCGTGTAGATTGTCTTTTAAAAGTTTGACTGGCCGTTTGGGCTCGAAAAGCCGCCGATAAACATTGGATAGGGGCTACATTCCTAGTTAGGGCCAAGGTTGGTACAGATTGCCCTTGAGTTCAGTTATGCCTGGATTGAAAGATATAGGTTAAGTATTGTAGAATGGTATATCGTTTTTAATTATTATATTATCAATTGTTTTGTTTTCATTGTAAAAAATAAATGCATTTGTTTTTTTGAGAAAAGTAGCCTTACAATGAGATCTACTCTAGCATGTTGTACCTAATTTTAAAGGCGAATATTGGTCAATCTCTAATTCTAACATGTACTAAAAAGGCCATCCAGACAAAGTTGAGTTTGATGTAGGGGTCAATTAAAACAACACTTACAACTGAAACGGCTTCATTATACCCACTTGAAATATGGCAAAGTGTTCTAATTTTAAACAATATTTAGTACATAATGAAATAACAGAAGCTCCATTGATTACTGCACACCAGACGCCAGAGAAACCAGCAGGACTTTGGTATTGATCTTGTTAGCTCATTGTTTCCTTTCTGACTAGAAGTGCGCTGTATATGATCGGTCCTTGTTATTCTGATGTGATTTATCCAATACCACGTCAGGTAAGTCACTGTTTGATAAAAATGTATTAGTCTAACACATTCTAGAGAAACACACTTCTCTAGAATTGTGATTGACTGATTGGTGTATGAATACAAGTGACGGTTTAAAATGGTAACGTTAGATATTGGGGTTGGCAAGTTTATTTGGCACAGGTCAAACGCAAGGAAACTCAACGTGCTCAACAAAACAATAAAGGAAACATTATAATCATACAAGGCAATAAAAAAAATATAATTATCGCACTATATTAAAAAAGTGAAGATACAATCTCTTTCGGTTGTATGCACAGCTACAACTCGACACGTTTTTAATCTGGATTTGAACATTGTCAGAGTAGAATCCTGTCTCACATTTTCAGCAAGACGGTTCCAAATTTTGGCCACTTAAAGCTGAAATGCTGCCTCCCTACTGTTCTGTGCTGACTCTGGGAACCCGCAGGAGGCTGTGATCCTCAGACTGAGTTTGTTCATATGGTATTTAAATGTCACAAATCTAAACTTTGCATCACTCAGGCAGTGTAAATGTAATCTGAAATTTGAATAAAAGCAATACTACTTAATTAACCCTAGGTCAGGAAATCCATTCATCACTATGGCTGCAATGGATGATTATTTTACTTTTTATAGTTGGCATGTTTAACAATATCTGTATTATCTTTTTTGATTTGATTTTAATGTAAGTGTAAATATGGCGATGAATGTGAAGATAAATAATGGGCCGGCTGAAAAGACAAAAGAATGACACACATTCAAAGTAGTGACCTCATACTTTTTTTTTAAAACACGCACAGGTCCAGAACAATAAAGGTGCCATATTTCGCTTTTCTTCATTTTTCACAGTCCATTCTAGTAAGTAATATTTATTTATATAGTGCATTTTACAGACCAAGGTCACCCAAAGCGCTTTACAATGTTCAGAGTTCAGATATTGTTCCAATGATTCCACACACCTCTCCATTCCCACCTCTGCACCTTCTCCATCGACTCCCACTGAAGACTGCTGTCGTTGTGTCCTTGGGCAAGACACTTAACCCCACTTTGCCCAAAAGCCCCCACTGAAAGATCAAGGCTATGCTCACACTCAGAGAGCAGCCGTCCTCCTGTGGACTCACCACCTGCAGAGGGTCAGTGAGGGGCTGGTGCTATGAGACTTGGGTGGCATCTCTGACTGTCACCCCCCTGACCCAGAAATGGATTAAAGGGTAGAAAATGGATGGATGGATGGATGGATTCCACACACGGTGATGACTGAAGCGAGTCGCCGAACACACTGGACCATCAGCCCAATCAACACCATCCATTCACTCTCTCATTTACATTCAGACCTATTGTGCATGTTTTTAGTGGTAGGGGAAACCAGAGCACCCGGAGGAAAACTACGCAGACACGGGGAGAACATGCAAACTCCACTCAGAAAGGCCCTGTTCCGACCGGGAGTCGAACCCAGGACCTTCTTGCTGAGAAGCGAGAGTGCTATCCACTCAGCCCGAACACATGTGTGATAATAATTTGGGTGATACATACATCACTCAAAACTTGTCAAATTATAGCCATTTTGTGCATGGAGGTGATGTCAGCTCATGTGAAATGCTTGGATCTGTGCTCCTCTGCCTGTGAGCCAACTATGGCAACCCGTCACATAGAGCCCTATGTCCTTGATCCAGAATCACACCCTAATTATTTAGTTCATAGGGACATACGGCAAGTTCGTTGCATTGCACTCACAGAAGCTCCCGTTAGCGTATTTTATGTTGGAAACAACACTAGGTTCCCAGATCAGCTTCTGAGTAGGTCCCTTTTCAAGGTAACTGTTGTTCTGGAATGGTCTTTGATGGTGTCACCGTCACTCACAGATAAACATCTGCGAGTTTTGTCACGGATTTCAGACACACGCAGATACGAGGCAGATCCCCATGAACAAAGTCTTTCCCCATTCTCCGTGTTCTGGCCAAATACTCTCGTAACATAATTACACCAAAAACACATTTTCTCCAAATTGACATGAAGCTAACACAAAAAAGCACAGACGCTTATTTACTGTCTATGGACCACACGCTGGACTCGGAGAGAGGCTGCAGCTGACCATAGACGACGCTGATTCAGTGGTTCAGTTTCTCCCCGCTGTCAATCACCTCTTGGAGGCGGGCTTTTGACACCAAGTAACGATTTGAATCAGCTCGTTTCTGTACCTCTCAAGAATTAAAAAGATTGTTCTCTAACTAAAACTTGGCGGAATCAATTAAACAACTCTGGGCATGTGTATAAAGGCCAAATAGCACTGGAATCATGTTTAAATCAGAGAAAAGCGTAATATGGGACCTTTTTAGGGAACTTCAAATTAAATGAATGAATGAACGAATGAACTCAAACAAAAATAACACCACACACACACATGTTCATAAATCCTCGGCTAACAGTCCATTTTGCAACTCACTTAAACACTGTTTTGTTTTTTTCACCACCTACTGAAATCTAGAAATGCTCAGCTTCAAAATGGTGAGGCATGTGTATAAGCAAAGTGGGAACGCAACTGTTTTGATCTCTAATTTGGGCTTGCGTCAGCCTAATCTTTTATGTACTTTTTAGTTATAACATACAGTATATATAGTGTACCTCAACAAATACATTCTGCATTATGTAGAGATGACAAGTATTACATTTGACAAAGTGAGTTCAGTGAGTCAAGGTGGTAACTTGCACCGACCTCTTTTTTAATACCGTTAATCTACAATATCTTTCAAGGCTTCAAAATCAGCTGATTTAGGAGAATAAGCAAGTGAGAAGTTTTCTGATTAAACCACCCAGTTCTTGCATAGCCAGCATACTTATCAGACATGTCACCCATTAACCATTTTTGGGGTGCACTGGACTGGCGTATATGACAGTTCCAGTTAGTGCAAATATCCAGCAACTTTACATGGCTATTGAGAACTGAACTAACATTCCACAGGCCACACACAATAAACTGCCTGAGCCACTCTCTGAAAGAAGATGTGTAATATGATATTTGTGTAGGAAATGGTATGGTCACACCAGAAGTGACTGCTTTTTTGGGAGATCTGAGGGGAGGAGGGGCTGAATACCAGAGACTGAACATCTTTAAGTGGACTTTTATTGGTGGTCAGCCTAAGACACACCTGTACGGTATTCATGTGGCCACTAACATTTCAATTTAGATTGGATTGCGATTAATTGTGCAGCTGCAGGAGAAATCTATTGCTCTATCATGACATCATCTTTGCCCACTTCTCTCCAATGGCTCTGTCCCTGAGATAATGGATCTTATGTTATCCTCTCTGCAGCCACTCTCCTCTTCGGCCACTCTCTCATGGACCACTATGAGCCTCTTTCATCATTTATGACTGTCTGTGGATCTCCCACTTGTTGGGCCTCATTCCTCTGTCCTTTGGCTGGATGTGTTATTTCGGTCATATAATGTTCCATTGCTTACACTTTTATTTGTCCAGTATTTGGACTGTGTGCCTCTTTCAGAATGCATTTATTTATCTTATTATATGCTGCTAATTGCTTCATTCATTTTTTGAGAAAAAAGGAGTCAACGCAGCTTTGGTGTTAACTCTTTTGAATGGCAATTAGAAGATGAGCTTGCTCTGTCAGAACAAAACGGGTGTGGCCCGAGGCCGTAGTCTTCTGCAGTGCCACAGCCGCTCACACAACTCCAATCATCATCACTGTTGTGGGGCAAAAGTCAAAGCGATGAGGTTTTCTATTGATTTTTGTAATCAATCTAAACCTCCTGTATCGTCAGCCTCGGAGGAGACAAGACCGTAATATTTTAATGGGGTTTTTTTCCTCAAAGTTGCACCTTTTGCTTGCTTGTCCACACCACACAGTCCATATCAACAGGATTCAACAGTTTTAGTGAATCTCAAGCCATAACAACCTCATATACTGTATGTCCAGTTCAATATGTGTATTGCCCATAATGAGATAATTTCAATTATACCTTTTTTATTGGCATTTCAGGGTCAACATAAACACTATTTTTTCACCATTTATATACATTTTTTAAGAAGTGACTTTTGGCACATGAATGTGAATCAGGTCCTGTTTATCGAGGTCTAACTAAAGTGGCTCAGCTGAGTGCATCCTCCAGCAGGTAGGCCAGCAGGAAACATTAGGAGACGTTTGCTTTAACTGACAAAGAAACATGGCGGCTCATTGATTACATCCCACCATGCACTGACTTTGCATTCTCCTCCCAGAGAGCACTGTTCAGTCCAACATAACTAACTACAAGGATATATAATAGTTTTTATTATTGTTTTTTGTATTTTGGATCACACTGAATAGTGTTTTTAGTTGTAGTATAATTGGAGTTTCTTAAAATCTTCTCTTCTCACTATCATGTACATCAGCAGCCACCCTGTGCTTAAGCTGGTGATGAGACAGAGGAGCTCCTTTAGTGGAAGGCTGATCTCAGTGACAGACTCGGGAATTCCTTTTTCCCAACAGCTAAGACTCTAACACTAACATGTATGGGAGAGGATTGTTTTTTTTCATAGCACTTAATGGCTATTAATCCTGATTTTCCGTCGGGATTAAGATTTCTATTTTTGATGTTTCATTTTCTGGTAGATAATTTGTTTCACTGTTTGTATTGAACCAAAACTGAACAAAATACAAAGAAGGATAGTTTAAAAAAAGAGATTCAAAATTCAACTATTAACTATTACTTATTGCACATTGGGTTTATATTTGGTTGTTATCTTGAATATTATTTTTGTTATGTTTTACACTATATGGGAGCCCATATTGACCTATTACCATAAAACCTTGTAAGTTAATCATTTCAGGGGAGACTAGTCAGTGTGTTGGACTCTCCTGATTTAAAGGATAGTTTTAATGATGACTGCTTCTCAGAGAATGACGAATGTGAAACTAGTTGATGTTTGGATCCTGGTTCCTCTGGTCCCGTAGGACTCTACTGTCGACTCTGCATTTTGCTCTTGTTTTTGGACAAATCATTTATAGTGTAACACGTATGCCTGTAATCGTGACATCCCTATGCATATGTTTGTTCTAATAGTTCTGACTTTCTTTTCTTTTACAGTTGAAACTTGAAGACCGAGCCATTGTCATAAGAGACATAGTGAGACGAAACAACTCCAATGTATGTATTTTACAAGGATGATAATTAGAACAATTAGTATACATACAGTACATTATGCTAACTGCAATTTAAGTTTGATTTCTCTCTTCAGGACAGCCAGTGTGGCATGGTAACAAACATTGATTTAGAGTGTGCAGTAAAACTAGTGGGGACCAACTGTGTGTTTTATCCAGTCAACAGCAAAGACCTGCAGCACATTTGGGTAAGACCTCATGTTTTTGCTTTAAATCTTTTCTTTTTTGTGGCAATGATTTTACTGAATAGTGTGAATCTTTCAAGTCTTTTATGTACGGAGACTACATCGCCTATGACTTCTGGCTGGGGAAGGTTTACGATTTGACGAATCACATCATTCTCAAGCTCTCAAACGGAGCCAGGTGGGGTCTTAATGCTTGTGTTAGTATTATTGTGAGCTCTTTGCGTCCATACATTCCCATGTGCTTTTGGCATAACCAGAAACCAATGTGTTCTTCCTGCAGGTGTTCGATGAGTGTGGAGGATGGTGCAAAGCTGTATGATGTCTGTCCACATGTCAGCGACTCTGTAGGTTCTGGTATTACTCTTTACATGTGCTGTATTGTCGGCTCCTCTCACTGGGTTAATGCCATTTCTCGCAGGGGGTGTTTTTTGATGAGGCCTACGGCTTCTACCCGGGGCAGGTTCTGATCGGTCCTGCCAAAGTCTTCTCCAATGTGCAGTGGCTCTCAGGGGTCAAACCTGTCCTCATCCGAAAGTGCAGGTTTAGGGTGGTCGTGGAGGAGGTAACAACTTTAGGAGCTCCGTTTACTATGTGCATATATTTTTGTAATGGTAAAGTTTGGTACCAACTTGTTGTTTTATGAATACATACAGAGTCTTGTTTTTAAAGTAATATTCTGTGAACAAACGGACCACAATATCCTGTCTTCATCTTATTAGAAAACATGTTAGAGCAGATTAGCTAAGAGTGGGTTGGCTCGTGTGGGTCTATTTTTCACTGAAAAAGCTTAACTAAAGATGCATTTGAAAAAGCTTAGTGATAGAACCACACTTTTTGAGAGCGAGGAAGTATTTTACAGTTAAAGCTGGAGTACCTGATTTTGAAAGCACAATAAATTAAATGTAAATAAATCCAGCAGACTCTTGCACAAGTAACTTTTATTTATAAATGTCTCATTTAACTCATTCAATTTAATTATGATATAAATGTATCTTTGAAAATGCTTTTTTGTTTCAGTTTTAATATTTCTATTTTTGTTGTGATACGTTTAGGAACTTAGGAACATGTTTGAGATTGTGGATTGTTTATACTTTTGAGGTAAAATGAGTACTATGGTTGTTTTCCTAGGTTAAAGTGGTGGAGTTAAAGGTCACATGGATTACAAAGAGCTTCTCTCCCAAAGGCTCTGACAGCGTTTACCCCCCTCCATCCACCATCACACAGGAGAACCTGTGCAGGTGTGTGTGTCCATGGAAGGATGAGAATTTAGAGGCTGAAACCAATTCTAATTGTGCTCTAATGTTCGCTTTTGCGTTGGTCAGGGTGAAGCGTCTGGGTTATTACGACCACACGCAGTGGCAGCTGGGGGAGAGGGCGCTCTACGTGTTTCCAGCGAAGGGTGACACCACTCGGATCACCTGTGAGGGACCCGAGGGCCCCGTCCTGCCTGATGACCTTGTCTTTAAAAATGTGAGAATTCTGCTTGAATAACTCAAATTCACCTACATGACATCGTTCTGTTAAACCAAGATTTTCCTTGTTTCTTTTTCAGGTGAACCGGATGTTGAAGGACACAAAGAAGACAGAAAACCCTGATACGCAAGGTAGGTTTTAAATTTGTATTGTGTTGGTGGTACAATGATTACACACTTGTTGCTGTTTGAGCAGTACTGAAGGTAAGCTCCACAAAGGTAACCTCCAGGGCTGTAACAAAAAGAAGGGGGGGTTAGGAGGGGCACGATAGAATGGAAGAGAGACCAGGGCACGTGAGGGACTGGTGTGTGTGTGTGTGTGTGTATTATGTCTGTGTATCAAGGTCATAAAGCCTCTGCACTTGGCCTTGGAAAGGAAAGATAAGGAACACAGCTGCATGTGTCCAAAGAGGACAGTTTTTATTTCCCAAGGTTAAAAATATTTAAGTCAGTAATTTATGCTGGAAACTGCTTTAATTCTGTTTCTCTATTCTTTGTTGTAACAATTAGATTGATAATGATTTGAAATGATGATGAAAGCGAGTCATAGATTCCTTTATGCTACCCTTGGGTCAAAATGACCTGCCACATCAAAAGTAGAAATGACCGAGGGCCGAGAACTTTTTTTAGCCCTTATTATACATGTATAGGTTATATCAGTGAGAATTGATCCAGCCATAATGATGAATGGGGAAAAAGTTACATTTTACTGAAAAAATAGTTTGATCAGCAATTTCCAATTCTTTATCTCCCATGACATTTATCATACTTCTGCCATCTGAAGGACACTTTTAACACTACACTATTTATTTCAGATAATAATTAGTCTTAGTGTTCATTTGTTATTTTCTTTCTCTTTGAGCAGATCACAAACCGCAGCAGACGGAAGCGTCTCTTCCCAACAATAACGGCCCTGGAGCACATTCTCGGGAGCAAAATACCATCGACTCAACAATGGAACAGACAGAGCAGGACGCGGACGACGAGGCTGCAGAAGACACCGATGACACCAGGTAAAATCTCAGTCTGCATAATGAAATCTTCATAAAAGTTACTGAGGCAAGGCAAGTTTATTTGTATAGCACAATTCATACACAAGGCAACTCAAAGGGCTGAACAGCAACTGAGAAACATCATTGCCTTCTGCTCACAGCAGGGGGAAAAAATCTCATTTGAGATGATTCATCTCAAGGGTTTTTTTTCTTTAAATACACATAAACTTGGATACAGATCAGCTTTAATTGTTTATTTCATTTCTTTACCCTTTATCACTGACAAGATATGTTGTTGTGTTTACAGCTCTCTGACGTCGTCTGCCAGCTCCACAGCCTCGTCACAGAGCGGTCCAACAACAAACCGCAAGAAGAGTGTTCCTCTGTCCATCCGCAACCTCAAGAGAAAACACAAAAAGAAGAGGACCAAGTTCTCCCGCGAGTTTAAGCCTGGAGACCGGTCAGAACGCTGCACCTTTGCACTATTGCTTTCCTGTTGTTGCCATAGAGAAGCTTTACTTCTCCTTAGTGTAATAGAACTTGCACATTATTTAATTACCACTGCCAGGGGTTAATTTTGGAAATGCTACAAGGAAGAAACAATGAATGTCAATGTAAATGTGTTCAATGTTGAAGCAATATGATTTCACAAGATACGTTTCACCATTGATGAACATTGAGTAATAATTGGGGCTGGGACTCGATTAAAAGAAATAATCAAATTAATTAGAGGCTTTGTAATTAATTAATTGCATTTTAATCGCATATAAATATTTGACCTGAGAACAGTGAGAAGTTTTTTTTCACATGGATTCCCATCAAATAACAATTTCTGTCATTGCCTCCACACACTCTGACAACAACAAACGCTTTTTATGCCCAAAATCCTCTGCACTCGCAGTGAGCACTGAAGCAGGACATACGTTTTTGATCTATACATTTGGACAAAACATCAGCAATAGCAGCTTACACATCTGTCTCGCTCCCTCCTCCGCCTCCGCTCACACCGGCTCACACACAGGAGTCGCTCGCTGCTCCTCCTCCTCACACAGAGTCCAGAGCTCCATACACTGCGATCTTTTCCTTCTCTAACTCAGAGATTTCACAGCTTAAGTTGGTCTATGCTTGTAATAATGTACTTTGGAACAAAAAAAGTCACGGAGCTCAAGTTGGTGCTTCAGTAAAATTGGTCCGTCTGAAACTCATTCAGTAAGGAACGGTCAATTTTTTAAAGGCACTAATTTATGTGCCGTTAATTAATCTTAATTAACGCGTTAAAGTGCCGGCTCTAGTAATAATGTTTGTTTTTCAGAGTGGCTGTGGAAGTCGTGTCCACAAAGACCACTGCAGATGTGATGTGGAAGAACGGGCTTGTGGAGAAATGTATTCGATCCAATGACCTCATACCCATCCAGCACTTGGACGGACACGAGTTCTGCCCTGGAGACTTTGTGGTTGACAAGCGATGTAAGCTGTTATTACTTTTTGTTTTTGCAGACTATGAAAATGTATCTGATTTATGTCTGGGGAGAATGGGGGAGATGATCTTGCAAGAATATGGGTTGCTTCCTCTCTTTGGCTATTTTTTGCATGTAAATGTTCAATTGGATATTTCCTGTATTTCTACTTTAGCCCAAGCATCTCAGGACCCAAGTGTGTACGGAGTCATCCAGTCAGGAGATCACAAAGGCAGAACTTGTGTGGTAAAGTGGATCAAACTCAGCTCAGCTGGAGACGATGTGGAGGTCAGTCCACTGCTACAAAACGGCTCTAAAATCTAACCTCTGTTTGTGTCTGTTGTATAGCAATATAAATGTCTATTTTGTAATTAAAGCTGCTTCTGATTTTACTTGTGAAAAACTAGGTGATTGGAATGGAGGAGGATGTCAGTGTGTATGACATTGCTGATCACCCAGATTTCCACTTCCGTACCACTGACATTGTCATCCGGATATGGAGCTCAGAGAATGGACAAAGTGACTGTGAAAATGAGGTTAACATTCAGACATTCATTCAATACATAAGACCCAGTTCATACAGAGACGATTTAAAGCATCCACACAGAGCCCGAGAATCTGAACCTTCTGAAACCTTGTCTCAGACAGTGTTCCCCACAGATTTGAAAGCAATATATGGGGGCCAGGGGGGGGCGATTTTGACATTTTCATTTCAAAAGGCTATAACTTAAAAGTGATAAGAGATAAAGACTTTCTGTAAATTAGAAAAATATTAAGGATGGCCAAAAGTTTATGTAGGGAATAAGTGTACCCATCTAATTAGTATATCTCTGGAAATTGTGGATTTTAGAATTTTCATAAAATGTTTATTTTTTTAACTGACAGACAGATAAATCACTTGGACATGAACACAAAAAGTGAACTCTCACTGTAACACGCTAAATGTTCAGGGAAATAGTAAAAAAATGCAAATCTTGACTGCCCCAGACTGCTCTGAGCGCTCTGCCCAGGTGCGCGCCTCCAGGTGAAGCGCGCGCCTGAGTGTCACCGCGACTCTCCTGCTGCTGTGTATCCCCTGCGCTCTCTCTCGTCTCCCCTGCTCTCTCTCTCGTCTCCCCCGCTCTCTCTCGTCTCCCCTGCTCTCTCTCTCGTCTCCCCCGGTCTCTCTCGTCTCCCCTGCTATCTCTCTCGTCTCCCCTGCTATCTCTCTCATCTCCCCTGCTCTCTCTCTCGTCTCCCCTGCTATCTCTCTCGTCTCCCCTGCTATCTCTCTCATCTCCCCTGCTCTCTCTCTCGTCTCCCCTGCTCTCTCTCTCGTCTCCCCTGCTCTCTCTCGTCTCCCCTGCTCTCTCTCTAGTCTCCCCTGCTCTCTCTCTAGTCCCCCTGCTCTCTCTCTAGTCTCCCCTGCTCTCTCTCTAGTCTCCCCTGCTCTCTCTCTAGTCTCCCCTGCTCTCTCTCTCGTCTCCCCTGCTCTCTCTAGTCTCCTCTGCTCTCTCTCTCGTCTCCCCTGCTCTCTCTCTCGTCTCCCCTGCTGCTCTCTCTCTCGTCTCCCCTGCTCTCTCTCTCGTCTCCCCTGCTCTCTCTCTAGTCTCCTCTGCTCTCTCTCTCTCGTCTCCCCTGCTCTCTCTCTCGTCTCCCCTGCTCTCTCTCTCGTCTCCCCTGCTCTCTCTCTAGTCTCCCCTGCTCTCTCTCTCGTCTCCCCTGCTCTCTCTAGTCTCCCCTGCTCTCTCTAGTCTCCCCTGCTCTCTCTAGTCTCCTCTGCTCTCTCTCTCGTCTCCCCTGCTCTCTCTAGTCTCCTCTGCTCTCTCTCTCGTCTCCCCTGCTCTCTCTCGTCTCCCCTGCTCTCTCTCTAGTCTCCCCTGCTCTCTCTCTCGTCTCCCCTGCTCTCTCTAGTCTCCCCTGCTCTCTCTAGTCTCCTCTGCTCTCTCTCTCGTCTCCCCTGCTCTCTCTCGTCTCCCCTGCTCTCTCTCTAGTCTCCCCTGCTCTCTCTCTCGTCTCCCCTGCTCTCTCTAGTCTCCTCTGCTCTCTCTCTAGTCTCCCCTGCTCTCTCTAGTCTCCCCTGCTCTCTCTCGTCTCCCCTGCTCTCTCTCTAGTCTCCCCTGCTCTCTCTCTCGTCTCCTCTGCTCTCTCTCTCGTCTCCCCTGCTCTCTCTCTCGTCTCCCCTGCTCTCTCTCTCGTCTCCCCTGCTCTCTCTCTCGTCTCCCCTGCTCTCTCTCTCGTCTCCCCTGCTCTCTCTCTCGTCTCCCCTGCTCTCTCTCTAGTCTCCCCTGCTCTCTCTCTCTCTCGTCTCCCCTGCTCTCTCTCTCGTCTCCCCTGCTCTCTCTCTCGTCTCCCCTGCTCTCTCTCTCGTCTCCCCTGCTCTCTCTCTCGTCTCCCCTGCTCTCTCTCTCGTCTCCCCTGCTCTCTCTCTAGTCTCCCCTGCTCTCTCTCTCGTCTCCCCTGCTCTCTCTCTAGTCTCCCCTGCTCTCTCTCTCGTCTCCCCTGCTCTCTCTCTCGTCTCCCCTGCTCTCTCTCTCGTCTCCCCTGCTCTCTCTCGTCTCCCCTGCTCTCTCTCTAGTCTCCCCTGCTCTCTCTCTCGTCTCCCCTGCTCTCTCTCTCGTCTCCCCTGCTCTCTCTCTCGTCTCCCCTGCTCTCTCTCTCGTCTCCCCTGCTCTCTCTCTCGTCTCCCCTGCTCTCTCTCTAGTCTCCCCTGCTCTCTCTCTCTAGTCTCCCCTGCTCTCTCTCTCTAGTCTCCCCTGCTCTCTCTCGTCTCCCCTGCTCTCTCTCTCGTCTCCCCTGCTCTCTCTCTCGTCTCCCCTGCTCTCTCTCTCGTCTCCCCTGCTCTCTCTCTCGTCTCCCCTGCTCTCTCTCTCGTCTCCCCTGCTCTCTCTCTTGTCTCGTCTCCCCTGCTCTCTCTCTTGTCTCGTCTCCCCTGCTCTCTCTCGTCTCCCCTGCTCTCTCTCTCTCGTCTAACAAACACCAGACAAAGGCTTCTCACACACGTTACTGTCCCGGTGATGGCGGGAGGCACGATAAAAACATCTGTGGGAAGCACTATTTGCGGTTGCCTGGCCTGCCAAACGATATGCTTTTTCAAAGACATATAGTCTGGGAACGAGCTTGATCTCAGCGAATTCCCGGTGGGCGTGGTTGACAGACTGCATCAACCAATTAGATGCACACAGGATATGACGCAGCAACTAGCGGCACCCAAGCCGTTTCAGTAAACACAAAACAAGGGATGGCGGCATGTCAGCTAGTGCAAATGTAAACGACTGCTGTCGATTTTGTAAAAAAAACGTAAAGATACGAGGAGTTATTAGCAACTCAAAGGTGAAAGGAAGTCCCGCCTCTTGGTGCGTGATTGGACCGATGTGGGTAAAATCGTGAAATGATAGGCTAGGAAGAGGTGTCCAGACGGTTCTTCTTTTGAACAGAAAGGAGGAGTGTCTGGCAGGCCAGGCAATATTTGCGGAGATTTTAGCGGAGACTGTAGCAGAGGCTGGAGTCACGGCGCGGTGCCCCGTCGCCACTTCCAGGCTTGTCCTCCGAAAATCTAACCTGTCTCCGAACTTCCCAATGACAGCCCTGACCCTGAGAAACACTGTTTCCACTGACTCTGTGCAAAGTGTCTTAAGTTAGTGTTTGGTACAACCAGTGGGGGCGGGTCCCGGCTCAAAAGTGGCCAAAAGGACGTGCGCTGACATGCTTGCAATACCACCCCGGGCCGATGGGGGTGGACCCAGAAGAAGAATTAGCCAATGCTAACATGAAGCATTGGCAGACCTCTCAAAAACGTCTTTACAGGATGGACCAAAAGTTGGCTCTTGGCCCAAAGCTTCGTTCCACATGTGTGTCAATGCTGAGGGGGGTGGATTTTTTTGGTCCACTCTAGTTTACTTGCTGTGAATTTTTGAAGTCTCTCGTTCAAATGAATGGAGCTGCGTCGGCTGACGCATGCGCAGATGCGTTTTTTCACCATTTTCTTGTGGGCGGGACCACTCGCGGCCATTTTGGATTGCTCCAGTAGAGCACATTTTTTGGCCCATTAGTTAGAAGGGCGGAGATAGGCGTGACTCTGTCCGTTAATATATACAGTCTATGGGTACAACACTCGCACGCACCCTCGCAGCTGCACTCGCTTCGCTATGTTTTCTGTTTTGATTCAATGCGGCCTTGCTCGAATATTTTGAATGGGAGCATGACGTTTTTCGGGGGCCAGGGAGGTAGTCTGACATGTCTGCCAACAAGTGGCAAGGAGTATGAATGAATTTTAGCACTCTGTTTGACACACTCGGCCGTTTTAAACGGTACCGTAGCTTGTCGACTTAAGTTGGCTGTGGCGCCTAGAGGGTTAATACCGAAACGCAATGTGTGGCGGTTGGTCTCGAATCTGTGGCGGTGCGCCACAGATTCGCCTATGTGTGGGAAACACTGCTCAGAGTAGATGGGGCAGCTGTGGCTACCACCGTGTATGGAGTGAATTTTTCTTCTTCCCACTCCATTTCGAGCTCATGGAGCAATTAGTGTTTAATATCAAGGCCTATGTGAGTATGTAAAGGTGGTTTTTTATTTTTTTTCTGTGCGCGGGTGCATTAGTGATGTGGGTTGTATATACTTGTTGGTGTGGTCTGCCCACTGATGCACCATTGTGCATTTGGACGCTTGTGTTATGTATGGGCTCGGAAGGAACAAATAAATGAAATGAAATGAATGAATAATGACATGTGAAGCGTCTTTGAGAGTCCAAAAAGCGCTGTATAAAACAGATTTACTATTATTATTAAAGACCAAACTAGGTCTGTAAATGATACATGTTCAAAATATTTGCAGTGAGGTCTCTGTGGACTGGGCCTAAATGTACATTTTCATATATTTAGAAAGTTTGAGTTTGATGAATCTGCTAAAACTTTCCTCTGATTATTGTCACGTCTAATGTAGACTTCTGTTGGCCAAGTGTCTCGAGTGGATGTGAGCAGCAAGGTGGAGGTTGTCTGGGCAGATAACTCAAAGACTATTGTACTTCCACAGGTATGATGGTATATTCACTACTTTCTATTTTTTAAAGACTGTAAAAGAATGTCACCAGAGTACAAATCACATTTGGGTGCAAATTACAGCATCTTTACAATGTTGAGTCTGAGATCGAGGAGACTGCCTATGACTCTGTGGAGGAGACGAGCAGCGTGTTGTCGACTGAGGAGTGGGAGGACGAGAGCGACAGCTGGGAGACAGACAATGGTCTGACCACAGAAGAAGACAACCACATCAACGAGGCAGACGCCTCGGACACTGCCACCCCCACACCCACTGGCTTCTCCACTTTCATTATCTCTCCACAAGAGAGCAGCAAAGCTGGGGTTACCAGTCCCTTAAAAGCAAACCCCTCAGAGGAGGAGAGCTCTGCTGCTGCAGCAGCCGCTCCTGTGACTTGGGCAGGTGAGCTGTGTTCAGAATGATTATGTGCTTAACAATTACATTATCCTCAATAATGGAATGAAACATTGCGTATTCCATAACAATGTTTCTTTCAATTGTTTTCAGGGAATACTCAGGGACTTGCAGAGAAGCAGAACAAAGTTGGAGCGTCTCGAGGACTGAGGGAGCTTAAAGAGGCATTAAAGATCTTGGAGAGTTTGAAGAACATGACTGTTGAGCAGCTATTGACTGGCGGCTCTCCCACATCCCCAACCTCAGCTGAACCCAGCTCCACCACAAATGTGTCGAGTTCAATGACGCCTGCTGCTCCTGAGAAACCCACGAAGGAGAAGCGCTTCTTAGATGACCTAAAGAAACTACAGGAAAACCTCCGAAAGACGTTGGACAATGTGGCCGTGGTTGACGAGGAGAAGATGGAGGCTGTAGTGGAGGCGGGTGGCAGCACTGTGCCTGAGGTTTGCAATGTTTTAATGAACAATAAATTCATATATTTTGCATTATAGTTGATCTTGTGCTGTGTTGTACATCCAGGTAGAAAAGTCGGCAGAGGAGAAGCTTCAACCTGAGCCCCAGACTCCTGTGGGTGGTTCAGCATGGTCCAATGATTGGTCCAGTGACTTTCTCAGTGACACACCAGTGCTGTGCCAACAGAGTGGCGGTAAACCAGGCGTCACCTTCACCAGTGCCAGAGGAGAGGTCTTTTCTGTGCTTGAATGGGCCCCAGGTAAAAGGAGTTTCTCTGCATCATGTAGCATATTACAGTTTTAATGAACTACAGTGCCTTGCGAATGTATTCGGCCCCCTTGAACCTTTCAACATTTCGCCACATTTCAGTCTTCAAACATAAAGATATACAATTTTAATTTTTTGTCATGAATCAACAAGTGGGACACAATTGTGAAGTGGAACGAAATTTATTGGATAATTTAAACATTTTTAACAAATAAAAAACTGAAAAGTGGGGCGTGCAATATTATTTGGCCCCTTTACTCCCAGTGCAGCAAACTCAGTCCAGAAGTTCAGTGAGGATCTTTGAATGATCCAATGTTGTCCTAAATGACTGATGATGATAAATAGAATGCACCTGTGTGTAATCAAGTCTCCGTATAAATGCACCTGCTCTTTGATAGTCTCAGGGTTCTGTTTTAAGCGCAGAGAGAACCATGAAGACAAAAGAACACACCAGGCAGGTCCGAGATACTGTTGTGGAGAAGTTTAAAGCCGGATTTGGATACAAAAAGATTTCCCAAGCTTTAAACATCTCAAGGAGCACTGTGCAAGCAATTATATTGAAATGGAAGGAGTATCAGACCACTGCAAATCTACCAAGACCTGGCCGTCCCTCCAAACTTTCATCTCAAACAAGGAGAAGACTGATCAGAGATGCAGCCAAGAGGCCCATGATCACTCTGGATGAACTGCAGATAACTACAGCTGAGGTGGGAGAGTCTGTCCATAGGACAACAATCAGTCGTGCACTGCACAAATCTGGCCTTTATGGAAGAGTGGCCATTCCTCAAAGATATCCATAAAAAGTCTCTTTAAGTTTGCCACAAGCCACCTGGGAGACACACCAAACATGTGGAAGAAGGTGCTCTGGTCTGATGAAACCAAAATCAAACTTTTTGTCCACAATGCAAAGCGATATGTTTGGCGTAAAAGCAACACAGCTCATCACCCTGAACACACCATCCCCATCTCAGCTGTAGTTATCTGCAGTTCATCCAGAGTGATCATGGGCCTCTTGGCTGCATCTCTGATCAGTCTTCTCCTCGTTTGAAATGAAAGTTTGGAGGGACGGCCAGGTCTTGGTAGATTTGCAGTGGTCTGATACTCCTTCCATTTCAATATAATTGCTTGCACAGTGCTCCTTGAGATGTTTAAAGCTTGGGAAATCTTGTTGTATCCAAATCCGGCTTTAAACTTCTCCACAACAGTATCTCGGACCTGCCTGGTGTGTTCCTTTGTCTTCATGGTTCTCTCTGCGCTTTAAACAGAACCCTGAGACTATCAAAGAGTAGGTGCATTTATACGGAGACTTGATTACACACAGGTGCATTCTATTTATCATCATCAGTCATTTAGGACAACATTGGATCATTCAAAGATCCTCACTGAACTTCTGGAGTGAGTTTGCTGCACTGAAAGTAAAGGGGCCGAATAATATTGCACGCCCCACATTTCAGTTTTTTATTTGTTAAAGTTTAAATTATCCAACAAATTTCATTCCACTTCACGATTGTGTCCCACTTGTTGTTGATTCATGACAAAAAATTAAAATTTTATATCTTTATGTTTGAAGCCTGAAATATGGCGAAATGTTGAAAGGTTCAAGGGGGCCGAATACTTTCGCAAGGCACTGTACATTGTTGTTTTTTGCAGAAACACACTCATTTAAGAAGATGGAGTTTCAGCCTGCGGAGGCTAAGAAGTTCTTTGGTACTGTTAGAAAAGAAATGGCTTTATTAGCAACATCACTGCCTGATGGAATCATGGTGAAAACCTTCGAGGACCGTATGGTATGTTGGATGTACTTTGAAAGTGTTAATACAATAAAAGTTGAAATACTTTGTTTTTCTTCAGGATTTGTTTTCAGCTTTAATCAAAGGTCCAACAAGAACACCGTATGAAGATGGACTATTTATGTTTGACATCCAGCTCCCAAACATCTACCCCGCTGTGCCTCCTCTGTTCCGCTACCTGTCCCAGTGCAGCGGCCGCCTCAACCCAAACCTCTACGACAATGGCAAAGTCTGTGTGAGCCTCCTGGGCACCTGGATTGGCAAGGTACTTTTTGAAGAGCTGATAATTATTTACTTTTCAAAATGTCCCATAAAGTATAAACTACTCACATTAAGTTGGATGATATTGGGCTTTTGGGTAAGATGGAAAATGTAGAACGTTCAACATTGATCTAATATCATAAAAGTTGTGGTGCAATTCAGCCTTATACATTCCTAACTTATTGTGGTTAGTGTTTTTACTGTTCATGTATGTGTGTTGTTTGCTATTATTGATGTGTTCTTTTTACTATGACAGGGAACAGAGCGATGGACGAGTAAGTCGAGTCTGCTACAAGTCCTCATCTCGATACAAGGTGTGTGCTCCACTCTGCAGCTCTTTCATTTTTCAGGTTTGAGGAGCGCATCATCTATTGAATCTGTTTACTGAACTTTATGTGATTTATATCCTAATTAGAAATATTTGAATGTAGATTTATGTGTTTATTTTTTATTTCAAAATGTTTTATTGTTTTAAATGAAAAAAGACAATTTCTTTACATTGTGTCAAGGTCATGATACATATATATCCAGACATCTTCACATGTAATATATATTCATTATACTTTGTGTTAAAATCACTTTCATCTTGTTAACAAACAACATTGAAACAAAGAGAAAATGAATATTGTTATGTATTTCTATGGTGTCAGGTCTGATCCTGGTGAATGAGCCATACTACAACGAAGCAGGCTTCGACAGTGATCGTGGTCTTCAGGAGGGATACGAGAACAGTCGCTGCTACAACGAGATGGCCCTCATCAAGATGGTTCAGTCCATGACACAGTTGCTCCAACACCCTGTGGAGGTGTTCAGGCAGGAGATCCAGCAGCACTTTGGCTGCAGCGGCTGGAGGCTGGTGCACCGGATGGAAGCGTGGCTGGATCTTAATGACTCGGCTGAGAGAGGCCACCGCTCACATCTGTGCAAGGCCTCGTCTGTGGAGCCTCTGGATGAGCAGCTGCCTCTGGGGGTCGTGGCTCAAAGCAGTCCCTCTAAACCTGGGGAGGAGGGCGCTGAGGTGGGCTGCATCATGGAGGAGGAAGAGGAGGAGGAAGAGGGGATGGAGGACTCTGGTCTCAGCCCATCCACTACTGCAGCCTCACAGCAAGAACTCAGCCTAACTAGCCTAAATTCTGACTGTGACAGTGCTCAGAGCAGCTGTGTGACGGCGGAGAACAAGAGTCCTGTCGTACGCAGTGGGACGTCCGAGTCCGGGTCTGCAGCGCAGCCCGTTGTACGACCAAAGAAGCGGCGAAAGAGCTATCGCAGCTTCCTCCCGGAGGGCGGTGGGTACCCGGACATTGGGTTCCCCCTGTTCCCGCTCTCTAAAGGCTTTGTGAAGAGTGTTAGAGGAGTCTTACTGCAGTACAGAGCCGCCCTCATCGCTGCAGGCATCACCGATAATACAGAGGACAAGTAAGTGCCTCAACTGCTCCTCTCTGTACCCTTCATCCTTCAGCCTCGTCATCCTCAGCCCTTACGTCCAGAGCAGGAACCAAGCACTGCCCAAAAGCCCTTACCTCCATGTTTGTCACTGCTCTTGTGCCCGGACTCCTCCACTGCAGGGGAACAGCTGCATTTGTCTCAAGACTGAAGGTTTTCAGTGATATTTTATTCTGCATTCTAATGGCTGAGAGAGCACTGGACCTATGGGTACTCCTGGAGTGGCTTGTTGTTGCACAGAAAGGCTGACCTTGAATGGCCACTTTATAAAATCTTTTGTCAGAATTTGTAGTATTTCCTTGAAAGGACTGAAATAGACACAATAGTGCCATGAGGACCACTATAGAAACTCGTTCAGATCAAAGAGTGTGGATTCTGGAAACCACACCACACAATGATGTACTGGGCCACATACTGAAGTTGAGCGTTTCACTAAAGTAACTGTATCCCAGTCACTGAACTGTGGCTTTCTGTAGCACTACTGATGTTAATACTGTCCCATCATGCACTACAACTAATGAAGGACAACATGGTCTGGAGGCAACTCAACTTTTTGACCAGTAGATCCCTTTTTAACTAGAAATAAAGTGTTGTGTGCTTTCTGGCAACTTTCTCATATCCATCACACTATCCCCTTCTTCACACAAGTACTGAATGTTGCTAAACTGCCAGCTCTCAGTCACCAAATCCAGGGCACATGCAGAGTTACAGTTTACATGTCCTGCTCCTGCTCATGCAAACACCTGAGGGCTTTGGTGCATTTGTCGTCACACGTCGTCTTTATGGCCAACTTCACTGCAGTTCATCCATTCCATCCATTCACATGGACATGTTGCCTTACTTGAATTATTTTTTACAATCTCAGAATACTGCATAGATAGCTGCTTATGTCTAAAACCACTAAAAAGCCAGTATTTCACTTGATACTCAGACTTCCCCTTCTGAGATAATCTAATGCTTAAAAAAGGTCGACCTTAGTCCTTGCAGACCAAAAGAAGATTCTATGCCTGATGAAATCTATTTTTTATTAATTTAACTTGATTACATTTATAATAAGGAGTGAGTAACCAGTTAAATGCTCCTTCAACTCCCTGTTTAGCTTTGCTGAAGCAGTCTTTGTTTACATCTATACATTCTTAAAAACCATCACAGAGCTGTGTGTTCATTTGAATACTTAAACCCTTGTGGTATTTATCCTTAAGAGCCAGGTCGGGCAAATTCCTTATGCTTACTTTATGTGAGATGAACCTGTTTGCCTGATGTTTTACTTGAACTAAGATGCTGAGTAGTGTTTTTAAGTGAGAGAGCACATCGTGCCCTTGTAAAGTGTGAGTGATGGAGATGAAAAGCTTTTTATAGAAACTTAAGTAACAAGGGGTAATAAGTTTGGGTTTTCCATGTTGAGTTGTCTTCCATATCTCTTGCAGTTTCCATTCTACTGTTATCTATCAAATGTTGCAATGAAGCATGAATGGCAAAGCTCTTGTCATTTATTGCCAGATTGCCTTTTAAGCTTTGCACAAGAACGTAGGGTGTAGCCCTGGTTGCTTTTGTCTCCACATGCTGCTGTAAGCCATCACCCTGTGTTCCTGCTACACGTCTGTTCACAATGGACTGAGTAAATTAAGTACAGATTGTAAAAGGACCACACTGATATTAAGAACTCATTTACAAAGGGAAGCCATGTCAAATTGAACCGGATTCCAAGCACATGATGTACCGTTTTGTATAAATCACTCTTCATAGGTTTGTTTCAGCCAAAGCATGTAACATGTTGCTTTAAGCCTTCGACGGGCTGCACTCAAGACTTGACTGTACGATGTCTACATTTCCACAGTGGCCTGTTATTGATATATAAAAAGAATGAATAAAGTTATGATTTGTAGCCTGATTCTCTCTGAAAAGACATTTTCACTTCAAACGTTTTAGACAAATTCTTGTTAGATGGATTTTTTTTTTTCATTGAAATTAAAAACATTCTGAGAAGGAAAAAAATGTGTTTATTAAAACAGTAGAAAATACAGACATTTTGTCTAATGGAAAAATATAGCGCTTTTAAATACAATTTAAACTTCAGTGTCAGAAATAACATTTCTACAAGACCATGAAAAGTCTAAGCAGCAGGTTGCAGACAATTTAATCTGTGCTTTTACTTATGGTGCTTACTGACTGTTCATTTGACATCCTGTTTTAAGGCAGATCATTTAGTTTTCATACTCTTAGAATGAATCAAGTAGTACAACACAAGATTCATTCAAATTGTTAAGTACTTTTTGGAAAGCCAGAAATACAGCACAATAGTCCAAGGTTCATTTGATCTTACAATTCTCCAAGCATCTAAACCCAGGCTGTTTTCTGTCTGACTGCCTCTGGTGGTAGAAAGACAGCCCCAGATACTGTGTTAAACGGTTGACAAGACTCTCCAAATGAACCACTCTGGTCTTAAAAACTTGCAACTTGCAGCGAGAGAGATACAGCAGTTTTCGCTCCGAGGCCTGTGGCTACAATGCGGTTGAAAATTGCAGTTCAACGAAGTCCACACAGAATGTTAAATCTTCAAATGTAGGGGTTTTTAAGTCATGTTAATTGAAAGAGTAATAATTCTCCAAACTCTCAAAGTTAAACCTGAACTAGCCCAGCTTACAGCAACAGGCCTCAGGAATCGGCACCCGAGCTTTAGCAACAGCTTCACATTCATTTAAACACCTTTCAAATCATAAATTACATGCATTAAAAAGAAAAGGAAAAAAAACATTAAAGAACATCAGATGCACCTACAAATCCCACCACCAGGGGGCAACGCCATCAAGGCACGTCAAACAAAAAGACCACAGCAACTGACTTTGCATAGACACCAAAATATGTAAAATATCAACGCTATCCATCGCTAACAGTCAAGTTCCCTTTGAAGCATTGCTATAGTATCAATAATAATAATAAGCATAAATTCATTCAAGTACAACATGTGTTTGCAGCAGAATCTCATTTGTGTAAACATGATTTTCAAAAAATTGCATTTCAATCTTGCTACATTGAATACAAAGACGTGCATGTAAAAAATAGACTTTTTTTTGTGGTTGATAAAATACACAAATATGCATCATCCTGTTTTCCTACACACCAACATAAGACAATGAGTGTTTGCATGGACACTTGACAGACTGAGCCCTTATGCAGGAGGAGGAGGAGGAAGAGGAAGAAGAGGGTCTGCCCTGTTGTGGACTCAAGGCCTCATCCATCATCCCAGGTTTACTAATCTATCCCCCATTGCACACGATGAAATCATAATATAACAGACAAAAGTGATGAGTGTGTTTTGAGGCGTCACTCTGTGGGAGGAGTTAGTAGTGAGGGCTAATGAAGTCCTGTGAGAAGTGCAGCTTGGGACGGATCTGAGCAAAATAAAGCAGCAACGAAAGCTTTTAAGGTGAGAGTCTGAGAGAAAACCTGAAACCTAACCCATTATCAGAAGAAAGACTATGTTAAAGTTCTATGAAAATAATGGTGGATTACAATAAGGAATCATGATTTTTTTTCATCATGATACATAATCCCATGCTTTCTAAATATGACTTTGGGTGAGACATGAATGATCTAGGGCAGGGGTCTCCAACCTGTGGCTCGGGAGATATCAGTAGCTCACCAGCCCCTTTCAGGTAGCTCACCAAAGGATTTAGTGAGCATGATCTTGAAAGAAAACGTTTTGAGCAAATAAATATCTAATATAAGTATAAATATAAGGTTATACAGTATTATGGTATATTTTTTATGTGTCCTCCATTTTTATTTGTAACTATTAGATAGATTTTTAGTACCACTGCAAAAAGTTGTAGACCCCTGATCTAGGGTTTCAGTTCAATTTGGTGGCATATAAGTATATAATTTAGATATTGTGTAACTGCCTTCTTATATCTCAATATTGTTTATGGTCCCGTCCCATATTTGTGCTTGTGCAGTACTAAAAGCTAATGAAGATTTGATGACATCTCGTAAAACTAGTGCCACTGTGATCTCCCCGCTGCAGAGGGTGAAGGCATTGACACAATCCCCACTGTTGCATAAGACTCCGAAATAACGTCATCTTTGTCAGAACCACCAGCTTTGTCAAACTGGACAACGCTTCGAGAGAGAGAGAGAGAGAGAGAGAGAGAGAGATCTTTGGTGCAGGGACGAGAGAAACTTCTTGTGCATGAATAAATGAGCTTGTTAAATAATGCATTGTTTTTTCACACAGTACATGCTCTTGAGTAGTGATATTTGGGGTATTTGCTACAGCGGCCGATCATGTGACTGCAGTTTGTCCTGTTTAAGAAGCTCAGGTCACTGAAAGGTTCCCCTTTCAGTGACCTGAGCTTCTTCCTCGAGTCCTCGAGTAACATCACAGCCGCACACAAAGAGGAGGCCTGACACCGGAGGAGCAGAGACCACAGCTCACTTACACGCCACGCTGCCGTTATGACTGTTGCAAACCTTTTGTTACAATTTATGAACCAATTAAAAAGATGAAATTTTGTTTGGTTTTTTCCTACAAAGTATTTTATGCGTGAAGAGGCATTAAAACCATGAATTTCTTTCATCTTCTTCAACCTAGAATCTAAAGTTGGGTTTGTTCGGGTTCTGGGTTTGACTTCCAAGTGCTGCAGAGCCTTTCTGGGTGGGGTTTGCATGTTCTCCCCGTGTCTGCATAGGTTTTGTCCAGGTGCTCCAGTTTACCCTACCACTAAAAACATGCAAAATAGGCTACTCCCTTGGAAACAAAAAAGATTCTGGATTTAATCCTGGTTAATTAAAAGGTATTTTCAGACTTTATTGTAAGGCATCACTACAGACCTAAACATTAATATTTCTTACAGTAATAATTTGCTAATAATATCTGTCTTCCAAAGAACCCTCTGGTCATTTGGCTTGTCATATAAAAATCTAAATAATGCAATTGGATTTTTGCCTCTGATCTTTCCGGTTCTTTGCAGTAAACCTCAACCACCTCAAAACTACATTTCTCAGTGACAGTACAATATCATATTCTCGTCTTAAACAGTCATTCACCCCGTTATGAGCCGGGCCAGCCCCCTGTGCACCTCGGCCTGCACCGGCCCGTACTCCACCGCCTCCCCGTCCACAGTAATGATGCCTTTGGGCGACTGTGGCTCCAGCCTCAGGGCCCGTACTTTAGTGTGGAACAGATGTGGGCAGTTACTGGTCAAATGTGCCCCTTTTTCCATACTGAGGAACAGTCTGAGGAGGGCTGTGCGGGATATTCCAGCTTTGACGTAGGTGAGATGAATGAGGCCGTCTTCTAGAGTGGAGTCTGGTGCAGCGAACAAATCCTCGGCCAAATGGGACTGGTACATAGCCAACATTAGGACGAACTCTTCCTCCGGAACAACCACCCAGTTACTAGAGACGGGCTGGTCCAGAGGGGGCAGCAGAGAGTCCGTGGGGCCAGGACCACTTAGATTGGAGTGTCTTATATTTTCTTCCCTGTTGTTAGAGTTGTTAGAGTGACACGAGTTTAGTTCAGAAATCGAACAGCCGTTTTTAAAGCTGTAGAGATTGGAAACAGGCCAAGACGTCTGCAAGTTGTTTTGGTCATTGCAGTTGTCCAGAGCAGCGGGGAGGTAAGCCAGCCGTCCACGGTACGTCCGCAGAGAGGCGATTCTCACCAGAGTCCCCACAGTGAAGCGAGCTGCTCCCACGTGCCGGTACTTCTCACTCTCGATATCCACGTCTGCCACAAAGCCCCAGGCCAGAGACAGGAAGGAGAAGACACGGGCGCCGGACGAGAGGTGGATGGAGACCAGATCCATCCGAGACACCAGACCTTTGCACAGAAGGAAGCCACAGCTGAGGAGCAGCTCCTCACTGGACACTGGTGTGGACCTGAAAAACATTAAAACATTCATTAAGAATGACATTTGTGAAAGAGTATTTCACAGGATATTACAATGAACCTACGTTTACAAAGCCTCACTTTCATAGTCACCTCATAACTTTGCGTTCGCTCTTAAACTCTTGAACTCTGATTGTAAATAGATTTGATATCACATACACGGTGACAGAACACTGTATATTGTCACGCTGCACGCAACATCTTGTTTATTTTAAGTATTTCATCACTTGAAACAAAGTAAATCATGTCCACAGCTCAATTTAACGCACCATATTTCCTGCTTTTGCATCGCATAACAAAACCAGATTAAACAATGAAACGCGACCACCGAGGGGCTCATAAATGTGTCAAATACAACTGAGAAAGAGAAGCTTAGCTTTTCTTTTATTGAACTATGATAGAAGGCGATGAAACCGGTTTCCACTAGTGCTTTGTGAACGCACTCAATGATCGGAGTGCATTGTCCTTCATTCAAGCTTCTGAGATTACTGAGACTTTGAACACAATTTATAGATTTATAACAGACATTGATTGTCTTTAAATGTTTGCAGTACTCTGCTCATCTTATTTGGGGAACGCCTAACTCAGCCCAGAGCCTTTTGACTGTCATCAAACTGAGCGTAAGACTGACATGATGTTGCAGCTTCATCCGTTTTCATTTTAGACCAAGCAGCAATAATAGCATTAGAAAAACCCTGTGAGCTTTGGTTCAGGATTCCTCTGGAGACAGTCTGTGTTGGGACAGAGCTCAGACAACAAAGGACAAGCCCATCTGCAGGAGGTCATAGGTTCAACAGCTCCAGGTTCAGAGCCTCAGAGACTGGTCCCACGGGGCCCAACGCACGCTCCATATTCATCCACACAATCTGTTTACAGCTAGAGGAAATATTCAGCAGCTTTCAGATATGATGTTTGACTTCAAGAAATATTACAGAAGACTTCAACTGAGACTGTAACTGAATCCATGCAACAAGAAACAAAAATGTAAATGTGGTTCTGAGGAATCGTTATGCCGTAAGAGTTAATGACACAATGCCTTAAACACATTTCACTTATCATCAGAATCAGAATTATTGTTCTTGCCATTGTGAGTAACAAGAAGTCACAAACTAGGATAATGTACAGGATACAAACTATAGTTAATCATTAAAATATAGTGAATATGAGACGTAGATGTTTTGAATATATAAAATCAGCCTGATATATGATAGGTTACAATAACGACATCAGAAAGTGCTCGGCGACTGAGGTGAAATTAAGCCAGAAAAGAGGACAAAGTCTGCACTAAAATGACAAGAAATGAAGCAACAATTATACTTATTGTTATTATTATTTGCGCAAAATATGAAGAATTGAGTTTGATGATGAATAATTATGAATCCTTAGTCCATAATGAATCTTTAGTCCATAATGAATCCTTACTTTCAGCAAATCATTAAGTCAGACACATTTTAGATTTAATTACTGATCTTCCCTAGTTTTTCACTGTTTAACGTTTGGTAAAGACAGAGTTCCTTGTTCCACGTTGGCCTTATTTACTCACTGTTATGGAATGATCAGTACAGATGTGGCAAGGCCACAAAAAAGAAAAGACTACTTTTCTGTATCTATTTTTATACTTAGTTTTTGTATTTAGAATGCACCCCCTCGACCCAGAAATGGATTAAGGGGAAGAAAATGGATGGATGTATTTAGAATTCTATTGGCCAAAATTGCATAATTCAAAAACATAACAAGGCAAAAATTATAATGCAAAGGAAAAGACTACAATAAATGAAATAAAAAAAGAAAAAAAGGAAAACAAATATTAGAAACAATAACAATAATCTAAAGAGGTGGGAAAAAAATGAAACTTATGTATTTCACTACTTTTTGTGTATCTTTTTGTAAATGTTTCTCTACATTTCGTCACTCCACTGATTTAAAACTACACATGTCCATGGTTCTGGTGGTTCTGTCTCGCCTTAATTGTGTAAAAATGTATCCAATCTCACGCAAAAATCAGAATTGATCAATTTATTTCAAAATTGAATTGAAGTATAATGATTTTCAATTGTTCTTAAAGCTGGGGTACCTAACTTTCAAATCATAACATATCAGATTCATTTATTTGCCATTTGCAGTAAAACCACATTGGAAAAACTGTGCAAGACTACCCCAGTGTGCACCAGAATGTCACTATGTTATAAATCCACTAGTTCCTTGCTATAAAAACAGTTGGCTTCTGTCACTAGTTTTCACATGTATCAGTCACATTTCTAGATCGGCTTTATGGACAGAAAAGTAAAATAAAGAAAAAAAGAAAAGGGAACCACAAAAATCTCTCAGCCCAAATTGTCAAATAGCAAGTCACAGGCCTCTCTCTTGTTTAAAAGAATACTAATAATATCAAGACAGGATGTGATCTCCAAGCACTGCTCTCCTGCTCTGGAATATCTTTTCATTCATTGTAAACCATATTACTCCCCGCGGGAAATTGTTTCATTCATTCTTGCCTCTGTTTACATACCGCCATGCGCGGACGCGCGCGAGGCTCAGCGCGCACTCGCAGAGCAAGTACTGTGTATGGAACGCTTATACCCGGACTCTCTGATTATTATCCTGGGGGATTTTAATAAGGGAAACTTGAGCCAGGAATTACCCAAATACAGACAGTTTATCAAATGCCCGACCAGAGAGGAGAACACTCTGGATCACTGTTACACCACCGTGCGCGGAGCTTTTCGCGCTGTTCCCAAGCCAGCCCTCGGCTTCTCAGATCACTCCATGATACATCTGGTTCCTGCTTACAGACAGAGACTAAAGCTCTCGAAACCTGCAGTGAGGAGCTCCAAAGTGTGGTCTGATGAAGCTGTGGAAGAGCTGCGCGCATGCATGGAATCTACAGACTGGGACCTTTTCAGAGCTGCCACAGACAGCTTGGATGAATATACGGACACTGTGACGTCATACATCCACTTCTGTGAGGATAGCATCATTCCAACAAGGACCAGGGTCATCTATAACAACGACAAACCCTGGTTCACTGCTAAACTCCGGCAGCTCAGGAAAGCAAAGGAGTCTGCTTTCAGGGAGGGGGACCGCAGCGGCTACAAAGCAGCTAAATATCAGTTCAGGAAAGAACTGAAAGCAGCCAAGTCCCGGCACAGAGAACGACTACAGGAGCAGTTTGGTAACAACGATACTGCTTCTGTCTGGAGGGGCCTACGGGAGATCACCAACTACAAACCCAAAGCCCCCCCCTGTGCTGATGACCACAAGCTAGCTGACGATCTGAACTTATTTTTCAGTCGCTTTGATGCTGCCCCTGACACCTCCCCTCCCCCACCCCCCACTACTCTAACGACCCACCCATCAGCCCTGCCCCCAGCCTAACAATAGCCGCTAAAGAGATTAAACAACTCTTCCTGAGGCTGCACCCCCGCAAAGCTCCTGGCCCGGACCACGTGTCTCCGGCCACTCTGAGACACTGCGCCAGTGAGCTTACTCCTGTGTTCACGGACATTTTCAACTCCTCTCTGCAGTCCTGCCATGTCCCGGCCTGCTTCAAATCCTCCATCATTGTCCCCGTCCCGAAGAAGCCCAGGATCACAGGACTCAATGACTACAGACCTGTAGCACTTACGTCTGTCGTCATGAAGTCATTTGAACGCCTGGTTCTCTCCCATCTCAAGTCCCTCACCTCCCCCCTCCTGGACCCCCTGCAGTTCGCCTACAGAGCCAACAGATCTGTAGACGACGCCATTAACCTGGCCCTCCACCACATCCTACAGCACCTGGACTCCCCGGGGACCTACGCCAGGGTCCTGTTCGTGGACTTCAGCTCTGCCTTCAACACAATCCTGCCATCCCTGCTCCAGGACAAGCTCTCCCAGCTCAACGTGCCCGATTCCACCTGCAGGTGGATCACTGACTTCCTGACCGACAGGAAGCAGCGAGTGCGTCTGGGGAAGAATGTCTCGGACTCTCGGATTATAAATACAGGAGCCCCACAGGGCTGTGTTCTTTCTCCCCTGCTCTTCTCCCTGTACACCAACCACTGCACCTCCAGCCACGACTCAGTGAAGCTGATCAAGTTCGCGGACGACACCACCCTCATTGGACTCATCTCCAACAACGATGAGTCCGCCTACAGGAGGGAGGTGGACCGGCTGGTGTCCTGGTGCAGTGGTAACAACCTGGAGCTGAACGCCCAGAAGACAGTGGAGATGATTGTGGACTTCAGGAAGAGCACTGTCCCCCCACCCCCACCCTCCGTGATGGACTCCCCCATCACCTCTGTGAAGTCCTTCCGTTTCCTGGGCATCACCATCACCCAGGACCTCAAGTGGGAGCCGACCATCAGCTCCCTCATCAAGAAGGCCCAGCAGAGGATGTACTTCCTGCGGCAGCTCAGGAAAGCCAAGCTGCCTGCACAGATGTTGGTGCAGTTCTACACGGCCATCATCGAGTCCATCCTCACCTCCTCCATCACCGTGTGGTTCGCTGGAGCCACAGTCAGGGACAAACAGAGACTACAGCGCATTGTGCGCTCTGCAGAGGAAGTGATCGGCCGCAGCCTTCCATCGCTGCAGGACCTGTACGTCGCCCGAGCTCGAGGCCGGGCTGGTCGTATCACAGCCGACCCCTCTCACCCTGCACATGGACTATTCCAACCACTCCCCTCAGGCAGGAGGCTGCGGTCCATCAGGACTAGAACCTCCCGCCACAAGAACAGTTTCTTCCCCTCTGCTGTTGGACTCTTGAACACTTCTTAACCTGTCCCCCCGCCCTTTATAAAGTCACTTTACTGCCCATCATACGTCACTTTACTTCACTGTACTGCTGTCACCTTACATTGTGTGCACCATGTGCACTTGTATATTGTAAATAGTAACTGTAACTCTACTTTAAATTTAAATTTATTCTTTAGAAGTGTTTTTTATTCTTATTTTTATTATCTCTTTTTGACTGTTGCACTGAGCCGAAGCAATTTCCAAGTCTGTGACCTCCCGTTACTTACGTTGGCAATAAAAATGATTCTGATTCTGATTCTGATTCTGATTTAGACACAGTACATGCATTAAGATAAGACATTTATTTATCTCACACTGGAGAAATGTACATTATCTCGGCTTTCGTGTAAATATCAGTTAACATTTTTCCTCTCATTTTTATCCTTTTGTCTTTTGCGCGTCCGCATATTTCCTCTTTTGTTCCTGCCCTGTCTTCGGCTGACCGGTGCAGAGCCCGTTCGGGGGGTTACATAACTCTGACATGTTCTAGCTGCTGCCTGTTGGTCTCAGTCAGTGGATTCTAGCCTCACTGAACCCTTCATTGAGCCGGAGATAAAGAGCATGATTCTGCCCCTGGACGAGTTCTGGATGTGCCCCGGGAACAATGCAGCCTCTGGTCACTTCCTCTCAGTGTCATTGTCCCGTCAGACAGAGAGGGACCACATCCAGAGCAGCCCTGAAACCTACCGTCATGAGACCACGGCCTCGGGGTCATCAGTAAAGAGTGCGTTTGCGAGAAGAGAAGAGCAGGAGAAATGACTCAATATGCATCATGTCGTCGTACAGTACACTCTGATGAGAAATGCACCGCTGGACATTTCATTACAGACCTCGATACTCTCAAGGTTGGCTGATTTCCGACGTGAAGGGCGGAAAATATGATGCGTTTCAACTGAATTCACTGCTGACTTATTACAAAATAGGTTAATAATTATTCCTGCAAATAGTTACAGGAGTTCGTAGAAGTGAAACTCTTTAACCTCTGGGTTCAGTAGATAGTTTTATTATATTGATTACCTCCCGCTGAGACCAAACGACCCTGGAAGTCTGGCTGCTGCGGTCGACGGTTTTAATGTTGTGAACAGTTGGATGGCCCATAACTTTCTTCAACTCAATACCTTCAAAATCAGAAGTTCTCACCTCAAATTCCGCTCTCACATCTCACAAACCACGCAGTCCTGTTTATTTCACCTCCGCACCATCTCCAAGATTAAAAACATTCTCACTTCTCCCGATCTCCATAAAGTCGTCAACGCCCTCATCTTCTCCCGCTTCGACTACTGCAACTCCCTCCTCTCCGGTCTAGAGTTCAAATCCCTCTCCCGCCTCCAACTGGTTCAGAACGCAGCAGCCAGACTTCTCACTGGTTTTAACAGAAGGGAACACATCACCCCTGTTTTGGCTTCCCTCCGCCTGGCTACCTGTGCATTTTAAAATTGATTTTAAGATTTGACTGATTACTTTTAAAGCTACATTCTGGCACCAAGCTACATTCATGAACTCTTAACCCCCTACGAGCCCCGCCCCGCAGCCTTAGATCCTCAGGCAGGTCGCTGTTGACTGTTCCAAGGTCGAGGCTCCACACGAAAGGTGACCGAGCCTTCTCTGTCCGCGCTCCTCGACTTTGGAACGACCTGCCCGAAGAGATAAGGCTAGCACCATCAGTATCCTCTTTTAAATCACTTCTTAAAACCCACTTTTATCAAACAGCTTTTTTAACTGTTAGTTTTAAACTTCCACTTCCACTCTGTCTTTGTTTTGTCGGTCTTGTTGTCTGTCTGCTTTATTCTGCTGTATTTCTTTTGATATGACTGTTTTATTCTGTTTTACATTTTCATCCCTTTAATCATCCATTTCTGGGTCAGGGGGGTGGCAGGTGGTGGGTCCACAGGAAGATGGTGCTCCTTCAATGAAGACATGGCCTTGGTCTTTCAGCAGGGGCTTCAGGCAACGTGGGGTTAAGTGAACTCATGACCATTCCAAAGACCAGTGCTCTACCAACTGAGCTACTGTCACCCCCATAATACATATAGATGTATTTCTATGTAAACTCCTCCAACCAATTCGAACCCAGAACCTTCTTGCTGAGAAGTGAAGGGGCCATCCACTCAGCCACCGTGCAGCCCCTAGTTAAGATTTATTGTTTATGGCTCTGAAACTGTTTTTCATCTAATAATAGTATGTAATAATTTGACTAATCTATCTTAAAACTCCAAAGTTATCATTAAAATCTGAGCACACAGCACTTTCCAGAGGCTGTTGTTAGTGCGTCTGTCCTCCGTGTCCTTCGGCTGCTTTTTGCTCAGTGTTTTGCTTGAATGAACTGCAGCCAATCAGTCAAATGAGTGAACGATAAATAATTGAAGAGGCCTTTTCCATCAGGGATCTGACGGCAGGACTCTGGTCAAACTCATGCAGCAACTACTCGCACTCAAAGGACTATGATGCTGCTGTGTTTAATCTGAAGGAAAGTATGTCATCGTAGGGCACAGACCCCCACCAAGAGGCGCATTTCTTTGTGTGTTCCTCATTCCTGTAACTTGTGACGCAACACTGGCATTTCCCCACTGTAAATAAAATAAAAGGATCTCTTAAACTTAATAACTTAACTTCCTAAAAAAAGGAAATCCGAAATCCAGGCATAGAATCAGACCACCTCCAAAAGCTTTGTTCCTTTTCCTAAAAATCTACAGATCACAAACAGACAATCAAGGTTAATCAAACTTAACCTTCTTGGCGAGTGTTTTTGGATGTTAGTGAATGTTATTTTAGTTTCTTCAGTTGTTATTATCATTTTTTTTGTATTAATACCATTAATAACCAGAAGAAGACTGAGGTGATTAACAACATATGCTGTAAGGGGGGTTGGAATTATTCAGTTATTATTAAAGCTGATTGTATTCAAAGCACGTTTCACCAGCCTCCACTTTTGGCTTTGGCCCCAGTTGCATAACATGATTTAAACTGGACTGTAATACGCACTGGCAAAATCTCATCAAGGTCTAAAACTCATGCTTCCTCCCATAGAACAACACAGCGCTGACCTAAGAGCTGAGAGACTGTGACTGACCCGCTGTAGTGATGCACTGAGGCTGCCAGGGCGTTTCCAGAGCCTCCGGGGAGAATGGCCAGCGGTGTCCGGATGGCCTGCTCCCAGTCAGGGCGCTCCAGCAGCCCATTGATCACCTGCAACAGAGGACACGGCTGTTAAACCATCACATATCTATGAAGAAGTCCAAAAGCGTGATCATTGTCCCTGTAGAGAAATGTGTCCTCTGCCACTATCAGACAGTAAGATTTTGACCTTTTCCAACCTTTTTTTTGGTCGTGGCACACCAGCTGAAACTGATGCAAACATGAAACCTTTTAGCATTTAGTATCAAAGCAAAGTAATTCTTATCAAAGTAGATAAATAGATAATTAAACCAGTGCAAAAATGTTTCTGATCTGCTCACATTATATTCTTTTCACATTATTTTGAACAAATGTGTGATATTGGAATAATTCCCAAGGCACAGCCAACACTATCTCAAGGCACACTAATGTACCACGGCACACTGGTTGAAAAACACAGATCTAAGATGTGTATACATGATTCACCTCTAAAACCATACAGTTCTATCTCACAGCGGGTATGTAAATTTGTTAATATCTATCTTTTTTTTTGTGTTGTGGTTCCTTATCACATTTCAGGGTAGCTGTACACATTTTATTGAAAGAATTTACATTGCGTAAGTCATGTGACTTGTAATCACTGTGTACATATACAGGTGTGTAGTCTGCTTTCTTTATGTCTGATGAAGGGTGATCTTGCCCAAAATCCACATTTATAAAATAATCCCTTGGGAGCTAAAGCGGTGCAGTCATCTCCATTTTTTCATTTGACTATTTTAGACTTTTCGCACGCTACTCAGATTTGGATGTGCGCGTCAACCTCACTCTTGCTCTCCTCTGCCACTGGGGCCTCTCTCAGGAGCAGTGCAGATGTTGATGCTCGGGTTGGTCAGGAGCAGGAGGATTTTTATTAGTGGTAGAGGAAACCATTGCACCAATAATCAAACTCCACTCAAGACCTTCTTGCTGAAAAGCGAGTGTTATACGTTCAGCCACTGAGCTTTACAACAAGAACAAAATCAAAAAAATTAAATTAACACATTATCTACATACTGTACTTGTAGATTTGCTGTTGAACGTCTCTTTCTCACGAATCCTCAATTAATACAATTTAACACATGTTTTGCATGGAGTGTGTAAATTTCTCCATTGTGAGATCAATGAAGTCTATCTTATCGTTATTGTCTTGAAAACTATGATGAAATTATGATGCTAGTATGATGCCTTGTAAAACATTGATTATATAAACAAGTAGAGGTGAAATTATTTGTATATCAAAAACTCATGTTGTATATGAAAACAAATGTGTGTGGAATCGGTTGCTTTTAAACTTTTGATTAAAGGCTACTTGTAATTACTTTGAGAGGAATTCTTTTGCGCTTCACTTATCTCAATGCCAGCTAAATTGCTGAAGAGTCTGTGGTCAGAGAAGATGAGGATGACCGATACCTCAAACAGGATTCCATCCCCCGACATAATGGCCAGAGCGTCCCACTGCACCAGACTCATCTCTCGCACCAGCTCGCGGGCGTGGTTCTGCCGCTCTGCAAAAAACAAGAACATTATAACAAGAGAATCCTCACACATCCATCACAAACTGCCTCCATGTTGGTGTCAGCTGCCGATAACAAGGGCAAAGGTCCTGGCTCTGAATAATGCTTAAGGAGATGATAGAAGTCATTTATCCAGGTCCTGGGTGAAATCTGAGGTCAATCTAGACGCAGGTCCAATGTTCTCATTACGAGGAAGAATTCAAGTGTCACCGTGGGAAGGAAAGCTGATCTAAGCGTCTAGTTATCTGCCAATGAGAACCAACTGGATTAGTTATCCACAGGCACTCAGTTGAATTAGCACAGGACAGAATCAGACGATACATACTGAGGAGTTAAGATACCGCTTCACTGGGAGGATTAATCCCTTGACTTCAGAAAAATGACTGAGGGTTCTAAGTAATCAAGTAAGTCAAATAAGTAAGTAACCCTGTGTTACATAAACCGCTCACATACACTGAACAAAAATATAAACACACTCTTATTTACAGTGGTTAAAGTTGAACTCATCATTAGGACAGTAATTATAAGTGATTTTCCTCTATGTTTTGGTTATCTGAAGGCTGAAGCTACTGGGACCGTGGCAGGCGCTGATTGGAGCGTCTACAATTCCTCTATGCTTAAAACCATATGCATGGTGTGAAACCTTTGGTCTCGTCGTTTTAACATCAATAAAACATGTCTTCTGCCTTTGACTCAAGCCCAGACCTCCACATCTCGTCTCATTCTCGACACAACATAAAGCTACTAAACTCTAAATACATGCACAATAGACCCATCTCTATCAGATATTGGTCACAAATGTGTTTACATATGTTTCAGTGAGCACTTCTTTCAATCCATCCCACCTCACAGATGTGGCATATCAAGATACTGATTCAACAGCATGAATACTGCACAGGTGCCTTAAGCCTGCCGCACACGAGACAGATACCTGTGAGCAAAAAGTCATTCAAGACTCTGCTCAGCAGAGAGCTCGGCGTGTGCTGTAGGCTTCAGGCTGACCACAAAAAGGCAGTTTCAGTTTTTACTTGGGCCTGAAAGGGGAAGGGGGGTAAGAAAACCTGTCAGTGTCACCTCCACATTGCAACACTTTGATCAGGATAATCAGGTTGTTGATTGTGGCCAGTGGAATGTTGGGCCACTCCTTTTAATGTGAAAAGATGAGTATAAAAGCATGATCCAGTTCCGACTAATATCCACATTAGCCATTCATACAGCCACAGAAGTGGATCAGCATTCCACAATCCACATTCAACATGAAGACTCTGTATGAAGTGTTGCACAGCAGGAGCTATGAAGTTAGGGTTTAGGCTTCTGGTTATAAAATGACAAAAAATCAACATAGGACTTTTACAATGAGACAGAGGCTAAATAGCTTCTTGTCAACTACTATCCACAGTGCAGTAGTTTCCTCGATAGATGATCAGCCCAAAACATAGTTTCAATCTTTTATGATAATTATTCCTTGTAGATGCAGGAGGGTCTGTTGGACAGTTAGTGTCAAACAAAAAGGACTGTGGTGATGATCCAGGACACTTTAACATTCTACAACATGTATGGACATTTATCAACATTCATGGACATTGGTCTCTCCTTATGGACCAATACATACTGTATGTGTATTTCCTGTGTCTTAACTGTTGATTCACTGATCCGTGATTTCCTCTTGTTTTGTATTGTGTTATATTGTATTGTATATCAACTGATAATAATATCAGTCTTTATATTTTCATCTTGCCTACATCTTTTTATATTTGTATGGCACTTTTCATAAACAGTGTTTACAGATATAAAAAAGTGTATTTGTATAGCACAATTTATACACAAGGCAACTCAAAGTGCTGAACAAAACAAGATACATTCTTGTTTACATTCCTTCTCATACCTCATTTGACAATGATCTGACCAAAATGATATAAACTGTTGTCGTGGAAGTGAAATCACGATAACCTTCTTGCTTCTCTTTTATTGGATGTTTTCTCCCTTTCATCGAGCTCTTCTATTCACAATGCAGCAGCGGTTTCCAAAGTAAGACCTGTTTCGTGTCCACAGAGACAGCTCAGATTTCTCAGGCCTTTGTTGTAAACCTATCTTCTCTAAACTCCACACAAACCAGTCTCTCCACGTCTCTTTATACTTTATACCGACACAGAGCAAGAGGACTTTGTGAGAGCAATCTCAGGGAGACAGCAGCGCAGCAGTGAGTTTGCCACAGTTCACTCTGGACCACTGGGAGAAGCACTGAGATGTGACTAAACAGGAGATCTCTTGTGCATTGCGGCTTTTAGTCCGAGTGTGAGAGACGATATTCTCGGAGCGCACAAACAAGACACAATTAAGAACGCTCTGTTTTACACACGTTGATACTCAGCGTCAGACTCACTATTATGGGCTTACAAAATCTGTGGTTTAGCACTATCTATGATCCTGTTTTTATTTTGATCCTGTTTTGTCTGATATGGTCCTGATAATGTCTTTGTAAATCCAGCTATGAGCCAATATATGGATGGACCAATGAGATACCTTGGAATCTCCTGCTTGCCATAGCAACCATGTTATCAACATATCTGCCCCCGTTACGCCGCAAAGCTAACCCCGTGCTTGACACTGTTAGATGGTACATGTTTTCATAAGCTAAGATAGATACAATAAAGAATAGGGCTGCACAATTATTCAGGTTATGTGCAAAAGAAAAGAGAATAACTTTTTTTTTAAAATCACTTAAATTTGGGAAAATTTCTAGTGATTTGTGTATATTTTTAAGATTAGTCATTTTACTTGTTTGCAAGATCTTTGGTCTTAATGTTGAGCAGAAACATTATTTTTTCAATCCATCTCATCTCTTTCAAAAAGGTTCATTTTGTTGTGAGTTAAAAAACTTGTAGTTCTTTTGAAAGAAGTTACAGTGCCTTGCGAAAGTATTCGGCCCCTTGAACCTTTCAACATTTCGCAACATTTCAGGCTTCAAACAAAGATATAAAAATTTAATTTTTTTTCAAGAATCAACAACAAGTGGGACACAATCGTGAAGTGGAACAACATTTATTGGATAATTTAAACTTTTGTAACAAATAAAAAACTGAAAAGTGTCTTAGGCGCTTTCCTAATATTGTCTTGCGTCTGCCTTTGTCTAATAAAGCCTGTCTGGTCTTTGTGTATGAGCTCAGGTAAAATTATCTCGAGACGTTTACATAATATGGAAGTAAATAATTTGTAGTCGATATTCAGTACACTCACGGGGCGATAGTTTCCACAGTCAAGTTTGTCTTTATTTTCTTTGGGGATGATACTGTAGAAATAATCGCCTCTCTCCAAGATGGAGGAATAGTCTTTGTTTCAAGTACTGAGTTAAATGCTTTCGTTAATGTCGGTACCAAGTGTTCTTGCATGAGTTTATACCATTCGGAATTGAATCCGTCTGCACCGGGAGCTTTTCCGTTTTTTAATCTCTTAATTGCGGATATAATTTCTTCCTGAGTAATTTTTGAGATTAGCTTCTTATTTTGGTCGTTTGTGACTTGAGGTAAATTTAGTGAAGATAAAAATTAATCAATTTCAATACCACTTCTTAATTGAGGCTGAGAATATAGTTTCTGATAATACTCCTCAAAACATTGTTGTATTTTTTCTGGGTTAGTTTCAATTTGGTTTGTTTGGGGATGTTTAATTTTGAAAATTGTTCTCTCTGCCTGTTGTTTCCTTCATCTATATGACAAAAGTTTAAGAGCTTTCCCACCAGTATCATAGTATTGTTGTTTTGTAAAAATAAGCTTTTTTTGAATGTCCTGTGTGTTTATTTCATTTATCTCCTTCTTGACTTCCAGCATTTTTAATTTTACTGAGTCCTGTAGAAAAGATGAATGTTCCTTCTGTAATTCTGTAAGTTTATTCTCGAGATCTAGTAATTTTTGTTTTTTCAGTTTCTTTACAGTAGAAGAAATTGCTATAATTTTCCCTCGAAGCACTGCTTTCAACGCATCCCATAATATAACTGGTGAGACTGCGTCGTTGTCATTGTACTCCAGATAGGATTCTATTTCAAGTTTCAATTTATTCACGATTTCCTTGTCATTCAGAATATTCGCATTTAATCTCCATAGAGATTTTATTTTACTATTAAGGTTAAGGGCCAAAAATACCGGATTATGGTCTGAGAGTACGCTTGTTCCTATGTCACACTTTATCAGTCGAAACATATCGTTTTTAAACATCAAGAATAAGTCTATTCTGGAGTAAACATTGTGCGCCCCAGAATAGTGAGTGTAGTCACGCCTTGTCAGGTTATTTTCCCTCCATACGTCTACTAATCCCACTTCTTTCATGAAATTATTTACTTTTTTATACATTTTTTGCTATCGGGTTTTCCATTTGAACTGTCATTTTTCGGATTTAATCTAATGTTAAAATCCCCCCCGCATATCAAAACGCCCTGACTCTTTGTTGTCATTGTTTCAAGTACATGTTTATAAAATGACCAGTCACTGCCTGGTGGGATATAAACGTTAAACAAACTCACTAAGGTTCCCTCAATTTTACCAATTACCAAAATATACCTCCCCTCTTTATCTTTGTGTTCAGATATGAATTCGAAATTCACTGCACTGCACAACAAAATCGCCACTCCTCTACGTCTCCCCGAGTCATGTGAGGAGAAATATACTTTCGTGTATCCCATCTTGTTTAATTTAGCATGTTCATTATCACTAAGGTGGGATTCTTGTATGTATGCTATCTGGACCTTATCCCTTTTCAATTGAGATAACATTTTGGACCTCTTAATTGGATTAAGTATGCCATTTATGTTAAGCGATACAAGTTTTACGGGTCTATCTGACATGAGACTGCATCAAGGTTAACCAAACAAATAGACATGGCACTCTTCCCATCTCTGCGCAGAACAGCAGAGTAAAACGAACAAAAAAACATATGCATAATGTGAACATACAAAACGACATAAAATGTACAAAAAAAAACAAAAAGGTGACTTCCTA